GAATTCCCTACGTGCTGGCTGTAGATATTGCGTGAACCACGAAAGTGCTGCCAAACTTTTTGGTTGATACTTTTATATTATTTTTTATGAAATACTGACTGTAAAATCTAGAGGACATAAACTACTTTTCACTATGTTTTTACACTATTTGGACCCCCATTGAAAATAAGCTAGGTTTAATTAGCTATCATGGGTCATCCATTACCCCTGTTGCATATCTCATGATTTAAATATAGTCCTGTCCTACATTATATGAAGGGCATCAGAATTAAAATAAAATCAATTAATAAATAAATTGGTAAATTTGTTTAAAACTCTGTATCATAGTTAACAATTTCTTTGTCCCCAGCCAAAGGGCAGTAATAGTTAGACAAAATAGAATGTTTCCAGATTTACTACGATGGTATAAAGCAATACCTTTTTTCTCATTATAATCTTCTTCTTTTTTTCCTTCTCATTATCTATTTCACTTTTATGTTGTGTGAGGAAGTCTCTCGTTCTCTTTTTAAAATCTCGGCAAGATATTCTATTGTTAATAAGCTTCACATTTTTGACAATCAGAGGATCTACTTTAGAGTTTGCATTCTATGAATATAATATAGGCCTATCAATACAAAAAATACACGTTGTAGATTACAAATTCATCTTTTCTCTATTTAAGATGAATTTGTAATCTACTACATGTATTTTGTTGATAATGAAAATATATTTAATTCTATTCCTTCTTTCGATTGATAATATTGACTACTTCGTTCACCGTGAGTTTTAATTTATCACATTTAGTATAAGATTTGGCGTTTTAGGGAAAAATTTCCAAATAATATTTCATGCGAAAGTAGAAATCATTAAGCTTGACTATTATAGTGTATATCCATCTATTATGTCTATGGTTATTTTTTTACTAATAAGGTACCTTCTCCCGGTCCAGTGGTTAAAATGGTATAACCTTCGGGCGGCGCCATGTTATTTTATTAGGAGGGGAAGGGCGAGTAGCCGCAGGGGCGGGGTGTCTGATGAAGATGTGCCACCCTGAGAAGTTCAAGATTTTGTTTAAATTGATGCATAAATGGATCGATTTGGTACATACTTTTTGTCAAATTAAAAAGAAAAAAAGTTTTAAGTTCAACCAACAAGAACAAGCGCAAATTAAATGTATGCCTTACCTAACATGCACTACTTTTATTTACTTCTTTTAAAAGGAACTCCAATAAATATTTACGGGGATGTTTTTCGGGCTAATGCGCGTCAAACACTTTGTTTCTATCTTTATCAATATCTCTGTTTAAATTGATGACCATCATGCAGAAGTAAAAACAAACGTTCTTGGGTCACTGTTGTTCTCAAGTACGTTTTCAGCGATCAGCAATCGAAGTTCACTAAATGAACGCTGCAGCAGAAACACTAGTAAGTGCGTAGGTCACCATATTTTTTTCAGAAGGGTTGTTATAGATGAATATGTCGTTTCCATTGAACAATCAGCAATGAGGTCTTGGAGATACAAGGGATTAATTTGATTTTTTTTTTCTTCTTCAGTTGGTGAAAGGTTCTTCGTCGTCAACCAATGGTTGAACTTCCGATAATATGAATGTAATAATGACGCGTCTATATTTCTGATCGCCCGATCTGGCTTGCCTTTTCTCTCTTTTTCTTTATTTTCTCTATCTTTATATTTTTCTTTTCCCTCTCGCCGCCTTAAATTTCATAGTTCTCTTCCTCTTGGCCTCCCTCTGTCTCTTTCCCTTCCTTTTCTTTTCCTTATATTTTTCTTTCCATTTCCTTCTCCTTTTCCTCTATCTCCTTCCCTGCCTCTTCCTTTTGTGTGTGAAAATGATAGGGGTGGCCGCCCCCTGCCCCCCCCCATGTGGCGCTGCACCTGCCTTTTCACACTCCTTTTTTTTTCAGGCTGCCCTGATCAAAAGTTTCTTTCCACGAATGACTGGTTATTGGCTTTCAATCTTGATCCAGTTCCTTCTACCTTTCATTTTGCATGAAAAAATAATTTTCAAGAACCCTCTCATCTCCCTCCCTTCGTATATAACACAATTCCCCTTTTCTCTGTCTCCATTCTCTTTTTTAATCTGTCCCCGCCCTCTCCCCCAACTCTTACATTTTGACGAATCTCTTTACCCCTCCTTCCTTTCTTTTGCGCCCCACCCAATCTTTTATTTTGTGTTTCTTTTTATCCCTTTAACTCTCCCCCTCTCCTTCTCTCTCTCTCTCTCTCTCTCTCTCATTATATCTTTTTATCCCTTTAACTCTCCCCCTCTCCTTCTCTCTCTCTCTCTCTCTCTCTCATTATATCTCTTCATTCCGCTCTCTCTTTTCTTCTCTTAAAGTGAAAGTTTATCCTGGTATTATGTTGGTTTTATCATAAGCAGAAACACGAGAGAAACAGATAAGTTATAAGTCTGAGCTGAAACCGATTAAAGATAAGAAATTTGTCAATTTTGGAAAGTGCGATCAATCAAACACAAATTGGCAACTCTGTGATGTATCTTGCAAGGTCCCCTTCGTCCCATTTGCCTAACAAGCTGTACTAAAAAGAAAATCAAAAATGTTTCATTTATAAATTGCATGTATGTTTTTATACAACCCCTGTTCGAAACAAATCTATTCCGTCATCAATAAATTTTATGAAAGTTTATAAAATTTTCTTTGCAGAGCAAATTGGAGAGGCCCTCGCAAAATAGGTCATGGTGATGTCAATTTGTGTTTCACTGATTACAACTTTAACAATTAATAACTTTCCCACTTTTGATCCAAATAAAAGCATGAATTAAGTAATACAAAAATAAAAAGCACAAATCATTTTCTCTTCCTTTATTAAAATCAACTCAATATCAGGGTGGACTTCCCCTGTAATCGATTGCTCTTTTTAATCTATTTTCATAGTGCTGTATTTTTAAATAGTACATGATGTATTCATCAACTGTCTCAACCTCATTTATACAAAGTTAAAGTAATATTTATTTCACAAAAATCAATTAATACATGTATTTATTTAATATATACAAATAAAAGCATAAATTAAGTAGTACAAAAACGAAATAAAAACATTTTAAAAAATTTAAAGATTGAAAGAATTTATGGGAGAGTACTGAAGACGGTGTGGTTATCAACTCGATCATCACCAAAAGCTGAGCGAATGTCATCATTGCATCATGAAACTCTTGAAAAACATTATTATCTGGAAAAGACATTGCATAAAAAATTCACAAATAAAAGTATAAGAAATAGCAGCTGTATTTTACACAGTACTGACTGACATTATATCAGAATCCCCTACCAACAAAAAATTCAAACAATTAACATTGTATGTACTTAACTTATTAAGGCCACATTGTATAGGAATGTTACAATATGGATATATTGTATTACAAAATTCAGAATAATAAATAGCTAGAATATATTCATAACATCAGTACTGCACTAAATATATGCAGCTTGTCAAGTCAAATAAATGAAAGAAACATTATTATACTATTATAGAACTACATTAGGGAAACAGCACAATATTCAAATGAATGAAGATTGCATGTGAACATGCATTTACAACAATTCAAGTTTATATCCCTAATTCAAAATAATGCATATATAAGCAACCCTGATAAACATAATACAGAAATGGCATAAATTTCCTAATCCTTTCGTAACTTCCTCTCCAAACAACAATCATATCATCAAATGAAATTTATTGAGATCTGGTGAAATAATCAATTAGTGCAGGTGTAAACTATTTACAATTAAAAAATCTTCTGCTTTGAAATTGGTCTTTTTACAGGAAAAGGGAATGTCATGGCAGCTCAAGATATGTTAATTGTTTTAATTGCACGTTCCTCTTGACAACATCCGACATGAACAAGTCTTCAAGTTTATGTACTTATATATATATATATTTATGTTGTTGTACAGAATAATGCAATTGTTACATCAGGCAAAAGGCATATAACCAGTGGCTATATGTTTACATTTTTTAAAACTAAATAGTTAAGACTTGTTTAAAGGTAAAGACCAGTATTGGAAACGCCCCAATTTCAAAAAATGAAATGGAAGCTCTCATTACCAATCATGTGAAAGAATATGTTTTGACTAATACATGATGATAACAAATTTGCTGGGAAACCGCCTACTAATTCATATATTTGGTCAATTTGTTTCTCTCATGGACTGTGAGAGATATAGGGTAGTCCCATATACATCTTTCTGTGTATAGTGCTTGTAACTTTACGAAGAATGGGCCAAATTTCTTATCATTTTGATGATTCCAGAACCTTGCAGATGCTAGATGCTAGATGATCAACCTTTTCTGATCGATTCCACAACGTTTCTTTCACAATGCAATCGCATGACCATAACTGGTCTTTACCTTTAATTAAATCTCACAATTTCATTAAACTGGATTTTTTACAAACTTTGAATAGCTGGCATATTTTTAACGGCAATCTCAATGAAGATCATATTAATCGTTTAGGGAAGAATGGATATTATAACTATTGATATTATACATAAAATCAATGGGCTATTCATTATGATTTAGACCCACATAGTAGTCAGTGTCCATGCATATGTATTGCATCATAATTCGCCGACACCAGATTTGGTTGAATAACCAAACGATGTGTGCACGGGTCTCTCAGGCAGCGAAACTTGTCATCTCACCAGGGGAGTGTTTCATAAAGACTAAGATCAACTTTAAATTGGACTTAACTATGGCAGGTCATTCATGCCACTGTTTGCTCTCACCATTATGATCTTTAGATAATATTTTTTCCTTCAATAATGAATTATCACAAAATGTAGATTCTGTAGTTTTTTTACCATGATTTGTACGTCCCTTGAGAGACCCATGCCAGTAAATGGTGAGAGCAAATATTGTCATGAATGGCCTGCCAAAGTTAAGTCCAACTTAAAGTTGATCTTAGTCTTTGTGAACACCCCCCAGATAATACTCCAGCTTGCCTTCATATCTCGAGGGTGATGGAATTTTATGATGATGAGAAGGCAGTAGGTTCAGGGCACAATTCACTACATATAATACCCGTTTGGTGATAGAAGCAAATTGATAAAAGTGAAGTCCACTCTTGGTGATTGAAAACACCTTTTTATTGGGTAAACACCTGAATGGTGTCAAATTCTCCATCATAACCCACTACCATGAGCCTTTAAATAATCATACATGATAACAAAGTTCATAAGAAAGGCAAAAGAAATCAATCTTTAAGACATTTACATGAACGTAATATCATAGCTTTCAATTACACTTTGCATCACACACCTTATGAAAAATCAGCCTTTCTTCAAATTTCTCCCCTATTTGAGAACCAGAGAGCTAAATAGATTAGGCTGAAATCTCTATTTCCAACATCCTCTTGTTGTCAAAATCAACAAAATTCAAATATTCAACCCCCATTTACTCTCATGATTCTCCACCACTGGGACGGTAAAAGATTTTACAAAGCATTGAGGTCAGTAGTTCAAAATCCTTTTGATACTGAATAAGGCCGGAAGAAAAGAAAAATCACTTAATATGTTCTTTCCTAATTCTGAGCACATAAAACAATTTACATCACAATTAATTCAGCAGTTTGATATTCATATATAGTTTCCAATGTTGAATCAAGATGAAAGCAAATCCTTCATTGGATTGCTTTCTTCCATCCTGAGGTACCTTGTATGGGAGTATTTTTGCTCTCTTAGCAGTCAGGTAAAATAACCACCACTAAACTAAACTAAACACTTAAGTTCATCTACCAGATTCACTTTCATGATATGCTATTCACTGATAAAAGTCACTCCCTGAATGAAAATTTCTATACAATTATTTTTAATTATCACTAGTATTATTACATAACCTCTCTTATTTTTATTGTCGTCATTAAGTATTTGGCATTACCTGAGCCTACGAAGGGAAAAGCGAATTTAATCACTGTAACCCTAGATCTAACCATTGCAAGCCTAATGGCAAAGAGTTCCTTGTTTTGTTTGGCTGTTACTTCTCCAGTTCCGTTGAGCCATTGTCATCACCTCTATTGGATTGCTCTGCTTCCAGCCTCAAGTATCTCGTACGGAAGAAGAGGATGAGAATCGCCGTGACAACAATGCCATACCCAGCATACACAAACAAAGGAACTGTATGATGATAGACAGTGGAAAAGAAGGAAGAAAGATGAAAAGGGAGAAAAAGAAGGAAGAGATAAAGGGAGGAAGAAGAAAGAGATAAAGGGAGGAAGTAGAAAGAGATAAAGGTAGGGTAACACAGAGAAAATGGATGGAAAAGAGAAACAATGTAGGAAAGAGGGAGAGAAGGAAGAAGACATCATTAATATATGGAACAGGGATATGATGGGAGGGGGGCAGAGTGAGAGATACATAGAGAAAGAGATAGACAGAGACAACGGAACAAAAAGAAAAGTGTTTTAAAAGTTCTAAATCATTTTAAAGCACAAATTTAATAATGAATTAAAATGAGAGAGAGAGACAAATCAAGATGACATTTTACATCACTCTTTTTATCAAACATGATTTACTTCTGAGGGTAATTTATCAATCCTACTATCGAAATATTCAGTCTATTTAAGATAGTAATTTTTCTTTCTCTCATCCCTGTTCCCCTTATTGCATGTTTTTTTATAAATTTAATGTATTGTAAATGTTTTTAAACGGAGATGGAATTGATTTGAATAAAGTAAGTTGAATTGAATTTGAGCAAATTAAATTGAATTGAAATACTACCTTGACCTTGTGGCATAGAAAAAAGTTAAACAATAATAATAATAATATTCTGCTTTTATATAGCACCAAAAACATCAAAATAACGATGTGTCTAAGCACTTTACATATATATTATTACCCCGGTCATCAGATTTAGGCTTACCCGCACACAATGTATGTACATTCTCCACTCCCTGGGGAGCATTCCGGCTAGTCGCCATTTTACAAGCACACACTTGCTCATTTAACCACATTAACTTTCGCATCCTACCCATTTAACACCCGGATGGAGAGTGGCAAATGTAGATCAATGTCTTGCAGAAGGACATTAGTGCCGCGGCGGGGCTTGAACTGCGGACCTTGTGATCCACAGTCCAGTGACATTTCCAATCGACCACGACACCTCTACCTTGACCTTGCAGCATAAAAAGATTTAAAGAGAAAACAAACAGGAGACAGCATAACATTCTGCAGTACTCACTTGTCATATCAAGCACAGTTTTAATTTCATCATCTGGCATTGTGGACATCATCGAAGTTGTAACAGCACTGTCACTAGAGAGTGTTGATGTGACGTTAGGCAGTGAGAGATCAATGCACTTTTGATCAGGGAGCAGTTCCACGTTGACAGGCTGAGCCAGGACCTGGCCTAAGATGATGAGAATGATTCCTTGAAGCTGACTAAGAAGAAGAAGATACTGGTATGTATATATATATATATATATAAAATATATATATTTAAGTACTTATATAATACTGGATACAAGAATATATTGCTAGAGCTATGACAATATTGAACAATTCCAAGACGAGTCCAATATTGTTATAGCGAGAGCAATATATTCTTGTATCACACAAAAGCAAAGCCATATTATACAAATAATGAATGGTTATGAGTTCAATAGTGCGAATATTTTCATGAGTTGAAAGATTAACATTCTATTTAACGAGGCGTCAGCCGAGTTGAATAGAATTCACGTTAATCTTTTAACGAATGAAAATATTCGCACCATTGAACGAATGAAAAACATTCATTATTTGTTTTATACAACATCAAAGAAGATCTAATAGAACGTTAATCAACAAATGATACTTTACTCCTTATATTAAAGATAAATTAAAGTTGGAGTCAAGCGTTCTCGGTTACATTCAGATTGCCTTCGCGTACCGTCAGATACACGAAGGGATACGCGCGCACGGCTGAGAGGTACGCAGTCTGCATATAACCAAAAATGCACGACCGTGCAATATAACATCTATTGAATATCATGTGACCAACAATCCTCCAATCAAATGACAAGGATCCACGTAGGTGTTGTATAAAACATTATTATTATTATGTATATCAGGCTGACTAGTGAAATAACAACCTCTGACTTAATTACCTTGGTAAATATGGCTTTTTTTTGTGTGTGTGATATCAATATCGATAGTTGAAGTTCCTGGATGCCTGAGCAATAGGAAAACAATATTAGTTAGTCATCTGGGTACTGCGCTAAAGATATTGAATACACTGAATTATTGTACCACATGGAAGCCTTATATAGATAATAATTATATAATATTGACTGGCCTTGAGGGGTATATCAGAAATATTGACCAAGCTCAGATCATATTGCCCCGAGTCGAAAGACGAGGGCAATATGGTCTTAGCGCGGTCAATATTTCTGATATCCCCCGAAAGTAAAGCCAGTCAATATTTTTATTGTTATCCAAATCAGACATCTAGAGCAAATACAGACATCCATCATGACAATCTCAAGAACTGAACAAACTTTGTCAAACCAACACTGTGCATCCAGTGCATGCTTGACAAAATTTTCGATACACTGCAAACAGTGTGTATTTGGTGTGATTATTACGTCACAATAGAGTGCGCGCAAAGTGCGCAGGTTCTCGTACGCATAATAGATGCGCAATGAAAATGCGACGCGGTCAATACAAGATGCCCGGATGCGAGACCGTGGAAAATACCAAGGTATATTTTCACTCGTCTCTACACGCAAAGTCAATACGCGCAGGGAGACCAAGGAAAATACAAAGAATATACCCCTCCGTTCCCACTGCTAGTGAAAACTAGGGCAATACGGTTTTGTAAATGACCAGCTCAGATGTCTGATACGGGTAATAATGATTGATATTCCCTTTTTCTACCGGTATACAAGAAGGATTGAGACTTTGCTGGTAGTCGCACAAGATTTGGCTACATTGCTGAATTTCTATATTAATATGACTGTTTGATAAGTAGAAATTAATATATTCCCATATGTAAATACAATATAAAATGTTACATATGTTATTTATTTATTGATTTATGAATTGATGGTCACCTTCAATTATAAAGTGTGTTATACCATGGATATATCAGAAAGACCTACACAACACAAGAGGCGGTTTGTCATCTGGCTATATAAATACTTAATTAAATGAAAAAAATCAAGTGAGAAAAATCAGACACTCCCTTCCATATCAATTGAAGTATACATAACTCTAATGTCCTAAGCTTTCAACTCTGAATATCAACCCCTTTTTTTGCTGCCACTGTTTTGTTGCCATTAGGCCTGTGTTCATTGATCAGCTTGAGTTTGCCAAATTGAACCCGCTATTTTCAAACTAAGGATATTATCCCAAAGCTCGAAATTGCATCTTCACCAGACCGCTACGCTCATCACAAGCTCGATTGGGTGCAAAATAGCCTGCTATTTTCTAAATAGTGGTATATTTTCTAGACCAAATATCCAACTAATTGCAACTGCGAACTGATGAGGATGCAAATTAACTAGCTAATTTGCGATCGGGATAGTTGAAATAGCGGGTTAAATCGCAAACTCGAGCTGATGAAGACAGGCCTTTTGTGTATTCAACAAGCACACATCATAATGGTGTCATTCATGTCAATATTGCTTCAAACACTTTAAAAATACAATGGCCCAGGGGGACAGGGAGAGAGAGATCCATGATGCTTTTCACTAGAAACTAGTATAATTATATAAATAACTTTTAGAGAGAGAAAAAGACGAACTTACCCTGACATCTGCAGCATACAGGCACTGGTTCCCTCGGCTACCGGGTAGGAGCACTCCACCCCTAGCTCTAGAGAGATAGAGAACTGGGCTAGACCAAACAGACCAAAGCCTACAGCCCCAATCAGCACCCCAGCCCCAGCATAGGCAAACTTGGAAGACTGAACGGACAAAGGTAGGAATATGGAGAAGAGGAGGAAGAAGAAGAAGAAAATAATTTAATCAAAGTATAATTCTGATTCAACAGCAGTGTAACCAAAGTTTTACACCTCACTAGTCATCATAATGAACTAAAGGAGAACAAAGATGTGTGTATGTGCTTTCATTTTCCAATAATTTGTTTTGGTGTTGTTCGTTTTACCCGACTGCTAAGAATTAAAGCACGTGTAAGTTTTTAATAAGCAACCAGGGGAACAACAGCTTTAAGTCCTCTCTGAAGGACTTGGTAATGAGGATTAATGTCTTACCAAACGACACTACTGAGCGCATTGACTTGGTTTCGTACCCGGGACCTGCAGGTTACGAGACCACTGCTCTATACCACTGAGCTATCGCGCCTCCTCCTGTTTAATACTTACAATTGACAAGATGAAGACAAAAAGAATAGCCGCTGCACTGCAGATCTTAACGACCGGTGTGAAAGCCTTTGTCTTGTCGACAATAAGACCAGTTACTACTGCTCCAAGTAGACCAACACCTATCATCAGGGCTCCAACCAGGCCTGCAAAGTCCTGCAAAATCAGAAAACAAAAATGTTGCAATCAATAATAATAATAATATTCTGTGTTTATATAGCGCTCAATACATTGATCCAACGATGTGCCTAAGTGCTTTACGGATATATTATTACCCCGGTCATCGGATTCAGGCTTACCCGCACACAATGTATGTACATTTCCACTCCCTGGGGAGTATTCCAGCCATTCGCCATTTTACAAGCGCACACTTGCTAGTCCAACCACCTGAACTTTCGCAACCTACATAATAACAGCTCTTTTGATTGTACTCTATTCTATATTTATTATTGAAATTGTTATCACAAGTTTCCCCTTTCTATTGTTTATTGTATGATTTAAAAAAATATGTTTTATGTTACAGGAATGCAATTAAAAAATAGGAATGAGCTGATTATTTTTATCCTGTCAAAATATATTTTGATAAAATGAATAAAATATGCATAAGTAATTACTCTGAAATGAACCATTATTTGTGTACAGTGTGTAACTTTTTCAAATTTGAAACAAGGTGACCTGAATCAATCAAGAGGTACTAATACTACAAGTAATATTCTGTTTTAGCATGGTGCATATATTTCATATTAACAATTCTCTATCTCTGCTCTATTACAAAATGCTTGGAAAATATCACTAAACACAATGTAATTTGTTATGGTGGTTTTCTTCTTGACCTAAATTTTCCATCATTTTTTGTCTAACTATATATATACTATATACTCCAGAGAAGCTACCTTATATTCATATGTCCCAATTGACGGTAAAGGTGTTGTCAAAAGAATATTTCTAGTATTTTGATTTCTATTTACTTACATCGTTGTAGCCAATGGGGCACACAATTTGCTCCAGGAATGTGCTGATAGCATTGAAGATACCATAGCCTGCTCCGAAGAAGGCAAAAAGGATCACAAAGCGCCGATTCCTTGCAAGCTGCCATGATACAGGAAGAAATCAACAAGGATATTTAAAGTTGTACATTTAATTTTTTCGGAATAATAATGGGTGTGACATGTTCAAAATGGGGCCTGATAGCATATTTAAAATAGCACAGATCATATATTCTGGACATGACCTTTATTTTTCTCTCAATGCAATTTTTTAAAATAGACTCTAAAAAGCGTTTTAAAGCTCTGTAATTGACAAATCAGACCTGTATTGCAAATTAAACTAATCACAATTGTCCACAAACTTTGTAATGGTCTTTTCATTAGGAAAATGTTCAAAGTGGATTATATTGCAGCTACAAATCTCAGTCCACCAAGAATTTTGTTTTAAAATTTTACTTTTAATCTCACCAGTTTGAGTCCAACCAAGAAAGGTTGAGTCTTAGTGTCTGCACTGCTGGATGGGGGAGTGGGAGGACCACTGCTGCATATACCAAATGTTGCCATGGCAACACCAAGCAATGCTGGTATGACAAAGACCCACAGCTAAGGAGAGAGAAAACATTTATCAATTTTGTTTAATGTGTTGATCAATTAAGTTGTATACACTTAATTTTTTTGTATACATTTTTTTTATAGGAGATGGTGCAGAGTCTGTACATCCAATATCTGGAGAACAATTATTGTTTGGTCAACTTGTGAAATTATCACCAATCCATTGAGGTGGTTTGTTAAGGAAAAGAATGCGTTCTTCTATTTTTCCTATCACTGGCATCGGCGTATACTAACTGGCAACTCTAAGCCAAAAGAGGCGAGTCACTGATCACTGTCGTTCTCATGCACGCATCCATCCATTGAGGTGCAAAGTCAGGATCTGATGTTAAGAAAACAGATATGTTCTTCTGTTTTCCTTTCAATGGCATTGGAGTATAATGTACAAGGGGCATCGTGTCAGTGACATCACTGGGCCAACAATTGTCAATTGTCCTTATCTTCGGACCCAAAGTCCTTCAACAGTATCAAAGGCTGCTTGATTTTGGTGATTGGATAAGAGCCGGTATATTCAGGATGGTATGGTAGTGGGCAGAACATTAAACAATAGATAATGACCGAACAATAAAAAGAATAGATAATGACCTAAAAGACAGAAATTAAAAAATAGAACCCAGCTAAATCCAAACGTCAAGAAAGAATACAGTCGAGGAAACTTGTGGATATGTGTCCCCCCCCCCCCCCATAAGCTACGGAACAAGTAAAGGTCCAAGGTAAGGTAATCAAATGCAAAACATGCTCTATACTTTCAACTCATACACTTGGGGCGTTGCAAGAAAGTTGCAATCAATTGCAAATCCCCCAAATCAAGCGTAAGTCTTGCGATTAATTGCAAATTTGCAATTGATCGCAAATTAATTTTCTTGCAACGCCCAATTAGTAAGAGAGAGAGAGAGCGAGAGGGGGGGGGGGAATAAAAGCTAGATCTAGTTAACTTCTTTTAATTGTTAAAACTATCCTAACAAATTCCTAGGAAACTAATTAGGAGACTATAGTGGGGCGTTGCAAGAAAGTTGAGTTGCAATCGATTGCAAATATATCAGATGCAAATGTTGCAACTTGCAATCAATCGCAACTTTCTTGCAACGCCCCATAAGAAAGTCGACTTACCATTAATGGAATATCACTTGGTTCACTGACAAGAAGCGCAGAAAGGAGAAAAGAGAGAAGGATACCCAACGGGTTAGCCATGGTGGCTAGGATGTTTGCTATGGCTCTCTGGCTGTCATTGAACCACAGAGCAGCCATCTTGGTGGGGGAGAAGAGCAAGAAAGGTTGTCCAAAGGCAGCAAGGGTCTGGCCGACCATGACGATGGCAAACTGGGTGGTCTCTGGGATCGGGAAGAGGACGCCAAGGTAGCGAAGTAGAAGGCCAAGGAAATTGAGCCATGCACCAAGTAGGATCTGTGATTGTATAAGCGCAGTGTTGTAGATAAATCAATGGTACTCTAAAATATTTAAAATCAGGTACTATACCACATCACTCCAAAGCAAAGAGTCAATATTTCTCCCCAAAATAAAATGTGTATTCATCCAATAACAACTTTCAATGCTATCCTACCATGTTTTTATAAGTGTTTTCCAAAACTTGAGGTAAAAAGCAAGATGGCAAAAGGTGACCAAATATCTTCTATATTTACAAATGATAATGCACTGCTTGAAAAACAATTTTTTTGTTTTGTGGATTACTTCAGATAAGAATGTATTTTCAAAAATATCAAATAGTTTCTTTAGAGTATTAAATGTAAATTGTAATATGTTACAACATATTTAACATATTAGTCCTCTAAATACGTCTTAAACTCCAACTGTGTGTCAGACTATAACTGCTCATGGTGTTCATTTACATATATTTCATGTTTACGAGTGCATTTGTGAATATGAACTGCACGAAGGTTAAGTCACAAATTGGCAATGAACGAGACTTGTCAAGCTCATTATCCTGTCAATTGCGCCTTATAGCTAAGTGCAGCACATATCACATATGCCGAGCTTCAAAACCTGATTTAATTTTTTTTTTTTTTTTTTAATGAAACAGGTCAGCAATATGAATAGAAGTTGAGAAATTTATAGCAAAATATCTGATCAAATGCCAAGAATTACAGAGTACACAGGGGTCACCATTTGCTTTGAATGACATCACAGTACATCAGCATCAGTGTCCTTGCCATTTAAAACTATTTGCATTGCACTGCACCTCAATTTTGTACGCTTCAGAGATACGCATACAAGCATCTCAGTCATTTTTTAACCAGTTTTTAATGGAAAATTTTAGCACGGTAGGCCTAGTAGGAAAGAAAGATAATAATAATAATAATAATAAAATATGTATAAAGCGCATAATAAACAAAAGTTTCTCTATGCGCTGTACAAGCACGGATGACAAGAAAGATTATCACACAAAAGGAATCAACAAACAGAAATATAAATATCTTATAACTACTAAAATGACTAACTTAACATATTACTAAAATAATAAAAAGATAGCTAACATGATCAAAACAAATAACGTATTAAGTAAGGACTAAATACAGCTTAAGCTAATTAATTAAGAGGTGCATTTTAGTACAGAAGAGGGTGCCTGTCGTGTAAATTTGGGAAGATTGTTCGAAAGATTTGGTCCAGCAACTGCAAAAGATCTGCCCCCCCCCCCTCATAGAATAATTATGTATTGGTTCTTGGTACACAAAGTAATGCTTGATTGCTTGAACGGAAGGTTTAGGGTGGGTGGTATTGTTTGAGCAAATCAGTCAGGTATGAAGGCCGAGAAGAACTGTGTTGTGCTTTAAATGTAATTAATAAAAGTTTGAACATGATGAGCCTATCTACAGGAAGCCAGCGCTTATCTACAGGAAGTTAGTGTATAGTTTCTTTAGAATACTACATATACTTTGTTGGCGTGGAGTATGCACGTGGTGTCATTTGACCAATTACACTGTCTACATTCTTGAACCTGTTTTATAATTATTTATTAATTAATGTCAAAGTTCATATATACATACCGCAACTCGAAGCCCATACGCATTCAGTTCCCATGCTACGACAAAGCCCATTGGTACGGCCACAACCAGGTAGACCAAAGAAAACCAGTTGACTGCATCTACGGAGACCTGAAAATACTCCGCTGTGAAATTTGTAACTGCAGCAAAACAGATCCATGCCTGCAAGATGTTAAAATGAAGGTGAAAAAGATAGATAAATCGTATTCTTGATTGTTCAATTTTTTTTTATTTCTTCGTGTTCATCTTCTTTTTCATCATCTTCTTCTTCTTTACCATCATCTTATTCTTCCTTCTTCTTCATCATCTTCTTCTTCTCCTTCGTCTGATCTGCAAAAGTACAAGCCATCTTGTTGTCAGTGTATACATGTACATACTTTTCAAGCTGTGCACTTACATTTTAAGTGCTGTGGAAGATATAATCTATATATGGAGTTAAACATCTACTGTGTCCCACTTTAGGGAAGTGGACTCTCACATGTCAAATCTCTAGGCCCCTTTGTATTAGAAATGCAATTAGCCTGGAAGGCTCTCTGAAAGAGTAAAGAGTCAATACTTCTTTCCAGCATTAGCTCTTTACTCTTCTTCCAGATAGACCAAATAATCTGTCTATTTCATGTTGGGATATATTCTACTGAGACTACATCTGGCTCCATGAGAGACTCAAAAGAAATAATCAATATGTTAATGATTCCTCCAACTAGACACATTTTTGTTATCTTCCAGAGAGCCTTCCAAAGTTCCAAGCTAAGCTAAGACTAAGCGAGTGTGTTGCTTGTCATAATTTGCAGGATGACTGTTATGCAGTTTAAAAAAAAAAAATCTTTAAAAAAGTTTCATCAGTATATAAATCCAAAATATTCTTTCAATGAAATTCAGCTATATGTTTTAGCATCTGAATGTATACATATTTAAATGATGTCAATTTTAAAAAATGTGATCAGTGCATATGACAAACTTTGTTGATCCATGAATTGATCAAATTAATTATGAATGTACCAGCTGGCATGCATCTATCCATTTATTTATTTCTTGATCAAGCACCACACAATTTTTGTGATTCAGTCAGAGTCAGTTAATCCCCCACACGACTTACCATTGCATTTGAAATATTCAATATAGCCATTGTAGCTACTACAAACCATCTCCATTTGTACATTCTGTATGTTGGCTCGATTAACTGATTTCTGCTTGTTACGAGTGTCGAAGAACGAGCTCCATTTTCGCCGTGCTCGCTGGTAATAATAATGGCACTGGTATCACAGATGGGAGTTTCTTCGACTGATCCGACTTCGCTTTCCTCTTCTCCATTTTTCTCATCTTCATCCAGAGCATACTTTGGATTCGAATACTTTACTTCACTTTCCGCCATGGTGCATAGCCGTTATTAACATCGACGGAATACAACTAAATACATGTAGATATCATTACGATCTGCGTTGTTTATTGTGCAAGATCGGGTCGACTGTTGACATGTGATGTACCGTACGTAGAGAGCGAGAGGATCAAGGTCGATGATTGTATTGTAAATGGGCGTGGCAATTGATCGCTCGCGATCGCTAGGCTATTTAGTAGTCTATATAAACAAACTATATATTACTTTATGTTCAAAGTTGGTCTCCCTCTTTCATTTAATAAGAATACTTATATACATTTTATGAATTAAATCGTGTTTTAAATTTATAATTTAATATCTTACATCTCTTTTATGACTCAGAATTAAATTTTTGTTTGCAAACAATAAACTATTGGTCTTGTTTTTCACACTAGCACTTTCATTCATATCCCCAAGTGCGAACGTAGGTTGAGTTCAAGGAAAAAAGACTTTATTTGTATTCCCTATCCACCCCCCCCCCTCTCTCTCTCTCTCTCTCTCTCTCTCTCTCTCTCTTCCTCTTTCTCATTTGATATAATTCCCGTCCCATGCTCTACATATAGCATGAACTATATTTTTGACACTGATTTTTTTTTTCTTCCCCATTCTTTGTTGACTGAAAATTGGTACTAGTCTTCATATTTGGATTTTAATCAGTAATTTGATTTTTGATACCATTATTATTTATTTTGTTAAGTTTAATATTAAATTGCAGTAGGTCTGGTCACTGAGCGGGGGTAAGGAGGGCACATCAACGATATACATCATATACACGTCACGTAGCTAATTAGAAAAAGGATCATCGAAACACTTATTTGGGCTTGAAATTACTACTAGGATCCAATATTAGCTTTTGATCAGGTTTACAAATAATTATATTTAAATCAAATGGGAGCACTAAAAACAGATTCTTGAGAGGAGCATCATTCATTCGACCGAGGAGACGATAAAACAATTAAAACATATTATAGATCAAACTGGAAATTTCAGATCTTTTCCATATGTCCAACACCTAGAATTAAATGTAAAGTACAGATAATTTATGAAAAAACTTCCAGTTAGCTGGAAAAGAAATATGAGAAAATAGAGTAATACAATTCATGATGGGAAATGAATGATATTGTATGCAAAAAAAAAATCTTTACTAATGTTTTTTTAACAGAAATCAGTAACGCCAAATATTTGTTAAAGATCAAAAGATGAATATGTTTTTTTTCTAATCTAAACTACTGCATGGAATTACTTACACAAATCATCATTTGTATGGATTTGAAATTGCCCAAAATAATATTTGTTGATTCTGCAAAGAGGAAGAGAAGACATTATTGTCTTTATCTATTAAATGTGAAAAGGTTCGTTTGATATGGAACGACTGTAATAATATTTTTGAATTAATATCCATTTCTAATCTGAGTTGGGAAGCACGTACAGCGGAGCGACTTCCACATTGGGAGGGGCACCAACAAAAATGGGCACTTTGTGGAAAAAAGGGCACCTACAAAGGGTAACTTCAAAGTGTACATGTCTTCTTTTTTTTTTTAGACATTGGGATACTTGATATCCCTGCATTTTCATGATTGCGGTGATTATATTATCATGGATGATATCAATATTTTTTCTCTCTTTACATGGTCCATCACACTTTGCAGTACTTAGAGTGTGATGGTCTGAATATTAATTTGCGAGGCGAGCGATGTGAGATAGCAACAAGTATAAGATTTGTGATGTCGAAGAGCGAATATTACATTTGATAAAAAAAATACCATGAAATATTGAAAAGACGTTTTAGAAGTAAAAATATTATATCAAATTCAAATGCGAGCTTTGGGGGGGGGGGGTAAAGAAAAAGGTGCGCTACGTCGCTTTAAATTAGGGGCGCATGTTATATAGAAAGGAAAATGAGCACTTATATCGGAAGGGAAAATGTCTTTTAATAGAAAAAGAAAAGGTGCACGTTTCAAAGTAAAAAAGGACGATTATCAGAGGTGAAAATGGGGCACTTCTCGCATCTGAAAAGGGACACTGCTCGAAAAAGAACTGATGAGAATGGAAAAGTGGCATCGTTTGAAGGAAAAGACACGCTACATATACAATTTTAATGGGGCATTTATCAGAGGTGAAAAGGGGCAGTGATGTAAATGGGAAGGAACTCATATTAAAAAAGGGAAAGGGGCACCCGCAAGATAAAAGGGGTACTTATCACAGATGAAAAGGGGCATTTAAGAGAAAGAGAAGGGATTCCTGTTTAATTGGTAAAGGGGCACTCATCAGAAGAAAAGGGCACTTATTAGTGAGGAAAAGGGGCACGTGTCAAAGTATATGAAAAAGGCAATCATCAGAATTGAAAAGGGGCACTTATCAGATGTTGATAGGGGCAGTTATCAGGGGTGAAAGGGGACATTAATGAGAAGGGAAAGGGGCACTTATCAGAAGGAAAAAGGGCAATTGCACGTGGCAAAAGAAGGGCACTTTTCAGAAGTTAAAAGATGCTCTCATCAAAGATAAAAAAGAAGCACTAATCAGAATGGAAAGGGGCGGTCATTAATAAAGAAAAATGGGCACTTGTCAAAGTAAAATGTGTAGATCTCAAAATCAAAATCAAATCAAATCAAATCAAAATCTCAGATTTGAAATGGGGCAATCATCAACGGATGAAGGGGGCACTTATCAGATTTTAATAGGGGCATTATTTTATCAGAGGCGAAAATAGGCATTTATGAGAAGGCGGAAGGGGCTCTTACGAAAAAGAAATTGAGGGGCATTTATAAAGAGGAAAGCGGGCACGTGTCAAAATAAAACTTAAAAGGGGTTATTGTTATGTTTTTATAGGGGCATAATTTACAAAGGATAAAAGGGGCTTCATGAGGAGGTGAAAGCTCTTATGAGAAAGAAATTGGGGTACTTATCTCAAGGAATAAGGCACTTATAAGAAAGGAAAAGGGGCACTTTTCCTAATATAAAATAGGTGCTTGTGCATGGGTATCTGCATGAACAAACTGGGGTACTCGTGACTTTAAAGGTACTATGTCCCTTTTGCAGCCAACCTCAAATTATGTAGAACTTTGCAGGAATTATGAATATGTCATGTATGTCCTATGTGAAATTTAAACGTTAGCAGTGTCTTCATATTCAAATTATGCAAGGAAACCCGTTTACTTGCTAGACTTCACTGTCAGACACTATTGAGTGACTGACTGGTTTTTTCTTCTTTGGTAATAACATACATGAAAAGAGTTGTAAAGGGTACATGAGCATTTGTCTACATCAATAACCCACTTCTTGTGATGGCCAAGATTAAACTGATTGAATCTTTGCGCAGCATAAAACGTATGACCATTCGGTACAAAAAAAAAAATTGGGCTCTATAGCCCTAAAGTCGATTTGACAACTAATAGTCGTTATTTTCCCACTTGAAGAATTTTTCAAGCCCCACCTTTTTTAGGGAAGTTCTAAATTAGTATTATCTTTCAAATGCAGTTGGAATTTAACTTTTTCATTTTTTTGGCCTGCAAATGGGACATAGTACCTCAATAATAATATGTTGAGAAATATGAAAATCAAAATGTCAAAGAGTATTCAGTCTTATTCTGAAGAAAAAAATCAATGCTTGTTCTAGTTTTTGGTGATGAAATATTAACTAAGTGCGATAATATTTTTTTAATTTTCCTCTACCACGGTCTGTCTCCCAAGCAGCGAAGTCTCTCCCCGGTCTCTCGATAAGACCACTCCAGCAAAGCATAGAGAGTCAATGTTAATGCGTATTGACCTTTAGCATTGCATTATGTGTTAATAGGCAGCATTTAAATACATGAATAGTCAATACACTCATAACACACAGATGCACACAATTATACCGATGTGTTTGATCGGCAAGTTTGACAGTATAGACTTACAATTTGAATTTTTAAATTATTTTTTTTAACATCAGTAATTAAAAAAAATGGTATTTTACTGCTATTTAGGTGTCATCAATTGTCATTAAAGTAACGATTTTGAGTGAAATTAGTTGAGTTTTATAGTGGTGTTTGAAATGTTGAGAATCAATAGCACAACTTTTAATACACAGCCAGGATAGTAATGCAGCTATGTGATATGTGTGGATAAGACTAGACTCCCATATTAGCAGTGGTCTCGATCTATTATCAAATCCGACTGAAAAATGGACAGAACTATCCAACTCATCAGTGCAGCCTTGCTGCGTGTTGAATTATCTTCGGACGAACGAAAAACGATCATTGAAAAACAACTCCAGCGGTTGTCTGAGAAGGAAGACAAGACGGATAATGTTGAAATTCCAGCAGGTAACGAAAATAATTCATTTCGGAAATAACCGTTGAGAAAAAATATGTCGAAATCTTAGTCCCATATATTGAATTGCACGTCATGGGGTTGTGATATTTCCGGGTTGATATTATTATTATTATTGTGACGGAATAGGGGGGGGGGGGGGTGGTTAATAGATAATACAATAGAGGAAGAAAGAAGGGGGGTATGGGAGGAAGAAGGGGGGTAAAGAGGAAGAGGGGTGGTGGTGTTGTAATTCCCCAGTGAGAGAGAAAGGGGGGGGGGGGTGCTTGCATCGCTTGCCACCAAAATCAAGTCAACCTTCACAACACAGTAAGCTGCCACCATCTAGTCTTTAGTAAGAGCGCTAGATTCTCTTCTCTTTACAACTTGATGTTGTAAAGAGATTAATACCAGACCTGTTGGATCACACAATAAACGATATTTAAATGACTTAATTATTCACAAATCACAGCCTTCTCATTGGCTCATTTCGCACCTCTTGAATTCAACACAACGCACTAATGGTCAACCTTTGACCTGAACCCTGGGCTCTCGTAAACATTCGCGCTAGATTCAACTCGTGCCACGAGCAGCCTGGCTCATCTCCACACTGTTCCACACTTCAAGTAGCTTGTATTTCTTCATTTAGGTGAGTTAAAGCATCATCATAAGATCTGAATAATTCTGTCAGTACTCTGTAAGCATGATTTAATCCTAATATTTGTATCAGACTTGTACAGCTCAGATTCTCTAACGTTCTGCACAACACACTGCAAACATGTGACAGGGCACACTGGGTGTCCTGTACACGCAGTTAAAACACACACATTATTCACACTCGTATCTTGGGGCACTTTCTCTCACGTCCTCTATCCCAATCCTCCCATAAGGTAGCGAGCAATCTAAAGGCACAATGACATGGATAAGTGTCTGAATAGAACCAGACAATGATTTCGTTCTTCAAGTTCTCAATCGCGCTATCTAAAGAAGATGTAAAAGTACCAATCACCATTCACACTTAACTAACTACTGTAACTAATGTGTAACCAGACATGTATTACTGTAACTTGTAAGAATGAATCTGTCAGCCTAATTGTTCAGGTGAACAAATAACAAGTAACACTTTATTAATGGATTTCAATTAACAGTGAGGCTTTCATGCCTAATTCAACGTTGACGTAATTCAACTCGAAAATGTATGCAATGCAATTACTAAGTATAAGAGTTCAAATGTACATTATATACAGATGTGTTGTCACTTTTGTCAGACAACCAATCATTTACCTAAGTGATACTAACTTAATTGTATAGACTATAATAGTAGATGCAGTATTATGTTAAAGAGTTCTATAGGGACAGGTTTAAGATGTTACAATAATAGATCATTAGCAACTGAATTCTATTCCAAAGTGTACCTTTTCTTTCCTTCTAAAACATGAGAAAGTAATTCTATTCCGGGCACAACATAGCCACTTCATCTTACGGTCAATCTAGGCTGACCAGCAGCCATCTAATAATTACTTCATTCCAAGTTCAAGTACAAATACTTAACTGCCTTCCTTCTTATTGCCTAGGCATAATCAACTTATGGTATTCGGATTCACCGCTCAACGGGTATTTTACTTACTGGTCTATCCACCCCTAATCTCGTCATGGCAGCTCACTCTGTCGGCATAACCATGCGATCTTTAATCCTTAGGTCTTTACAATAGGTTATAGCCTCAAATTTCCAATTCCTATCCTATTGCTAACTTCCAGAATTACTAATCAGTTCTAAACGTACTTTAATCTTAAGACAACCGGTTTGTCTAGGGATTCGTTCCTTGCTCTCTGTAATTCAGTGCTTATTAAGGGATCATTATCAATAAGTGTTACTAAGATAAAATATACATGTAAGTTACAGCTCCATAAATACATAAGCTACTTATATTAATTTGTACATCATTAATTGTTGAATTGTGAATCTATTTACAAGTGACTAAATCTTATGCAAGTAATAGCATCAGATCGTATTTACTTTGTTCATAAATATGACGAATATATTTAAAGTACAACTATATAGAATACAATTATTAAATATACAAATGTTCAATATATATAAGTTACAACTGCTTTACATGTAGATAGATATATTCTTAAACTACTAGGTACAGGTGACAGACTAAGTTACTGAGGCCCTCAGCCTCGTCCTCCAGAAATTCATATTACTAGTAATGTATTAGGTCACACAGCAGATATGGTCTATAGTCTAGAGTAAAAATCGATAATAAAAGAGAAAATGTTCCAATGACCAATTAAATAATCAGTCCTCCATTGAATAATAAGCAGTAGCACTAATATTCAATATCTCACAAATAGATAAAAGTTTGTACATGTATAAACATTCTTAGAACTACTTGTCACAGAAACCAGATTGGAATTGGTTAGACCTTTAGGTATACCCGCAAAGGATCAGTTAGTCAAACTATCCAGCGACCTGAAGTACACCTAATTTCAGCGTAGCTAATGATTTATTAGCTACAAAGAGTAAAATCTCTCAACCAAAAGTAATAAATTAAGGGAATATGTTCACCACTTCCAATGCTCATTTCTTAACAGTGACTGTGATATCTGAACTGACATCTCTGTAATGCAATATAATTGTAAAGACATTTTATTAAGTGTTGCATTATTCAATAAATAATTACTGGCACAGTAATATAAAATCCAAGAATTCATGTCCATTTTGTGTATTCTGTTTCAGTTCCAAGCATACATATTGATAACTATTATCTGATAAATGAATACCAATATAACAAGCATCCATATACACAGCAGTCATACTAATCATATGCACAATACCAATTTGGCTAGTTTTGGGCCATCCCATTTTGGCTAGTTTTGGGCCATCCCATTTTGGCTAGATTTTGGCCAATCTGCTTCTGGCCTGTATTCGATTCGGCCTTAAAAACCATGAAAATACACATTTAACTCTAAAATAAACATTAAAACATCAATTTTGGTACAAAGTCCAATAGATTGATCAACATTTGTTGTTGGTGCAATGCAAATCAGCTAATCTGCATATGAATAGCAATGGGCGGAAACGAAAGGAATAATTACCGTAAATCTCGGTTCAACAAGGTTCACAGACAGGTCAGTTTCACAGCGCATCTAATGCCAAAGTGTACAGCCTAGCCACATCGATCAAACTCGGCTATCACATATCAGCGCACTACCATGCGCTATGCGCGTATGCTTTAACCACGCGAATATGTACGCACATGAATATTCATAAATCTTCGCAATAACTATTTCAAAGTAAGTGCGATTACATCAAATAATTTGTAACCTTTATACAAAGAGAAATATATTGATCAAAATAAAGTAAGAGCCTTATTCCGAGAGTACAGACATTTAGAATAATGGTAAGTCAGCCTGACAGTATAACTCAGCAATTTAACAAGTGAAATAGACAAAAATATATGAAAAGATCGAAAAATCAGTCCCACATATATATTTTGGTGTTTCAAGTCAGTTTTATAAAAATGAACAAGTTAGATTTTACGCTGACCGTCACACTACCTCCCTTCTTCTAAATCGCTGTCCCCAGCGACTAAAAAAAAAAAAAAAAATTAAAAATACAACCACTCATTTCTTATCATACATGTACCATACTTTGACATGGTAGTGTATATACAGTACATACAGGTCTATGTGTATTTTTTTTTTCTTCTTCTGTTAACTACAGCATAAATGTAGGCTTAAACGCTAGTTTCAATAAATATACAATAATTAAAATTCTCAATAGTTATAAATACACAATAAATAAAAATTACTCCTCATTACTGTCTTCGTCGAAATTAAAGGTTTTCGTCTCTACCTTCCCTCTTTTTTCCTTCCCGTGCACATGATAATAAGTCTCGGTTACGACGGTCACTGACACCAGTTTTATACGTCCAATTTCTGTTGCTGCTCTGTTTAAACTAATCGTTACTTCCTCTAAGTCTGGTGTTGGTCTTGGGTCAGTTGGGGTCGGCTGTCGGTCATCAGTTGCGTCTGGGGTAGGTTGTGGGTCATCAGTATCCAGGGTTGGTTGTTGATCAGCGGTATCCGGGGTTGGTTGTTGATCGTCAGTATCCAGGGTTGGTTGTTGATCAGCGGTATCCGGGGTTGGTCGTCGATCGTCAGTATCCAGGGTTGGTCGCCGATCGTCAGTATCCAGGGTTGGTTGTTGATTGTCGGTATCCGGGGCTGGTTGTTGATTGTCAAAAGAGTCAGAGAAATAGTCCCCTGGAGACAAAGATAATGTTTCGTACAAATATTTCAACGAAAGTACTGGCAGAGGGGTACTAGATCCTGAGTTAATATCCTTACTCTTCTGTCTTCTTTCCTTTTCTGCTTCTCTTGCCTTCTTAGCAATTCCTTCTCCTACTCGCTCCTCTTCCAACTTCCTTTTACTTTCCTTCCCCTCTCTCAGGTTTTCTTGCTTCAACGTATAACGATCTGATGCCGCGGAGAAAGCCACTGCTAAAGTATCGCTTTTGGAGAGGTTATGAGTTCTCCTATAATGCCTACGGAATTTAATCCCCTCAGTGGTTTCATATGCACAAGTCTTGCATTTCAGCGTTAGTTCACGTCCATGGGCCTCTTTCATGTGTCTGTTTAGCTCTGCCCGTGAAGTAAAACCAGCCTTACATGTACTGCAAAGAAGTAACATCGTAAATCGTAAATCTGGAAGAGGTAGAAACACAGAAACAAAAACAAATTAGTCCCACATCCAATATTCATTTTAATCTCGGTATCGTCCTGGCACACGCCGAGTCCTAGCTAAATTATGACGTTTCAGCCAAGTCTCCAGAGGTGGACCATCATAACCCTTAAGTCTGTCTAAGTGCACTACTTTAGGCTTACATCTCTCACTTCGTTGTATTCGATATACCACATCAGAAAGCTTAGTGATAACTAAGTAAGGACCAGTCCACTTCATGGTTAGCTTAGGACACACTCCTCTCTTCCTCTCTATTCCATACAACCAAACCCAGTCACCAACTTTATAACTGGTGAGTCTAGTGTTCCTATCATACATCTTAGCTTGGCGTTCACCCGTCAAGCGAAGTTTATTTCGGGCTCTATCATGCACATCATGAAGTTTATCTCTCAGTTGCTCTGCATAATCTCCTATTTCACTTCCATTTTCCACAGATGAAGATCGCTCAACCAATATATCTACTGGCAATGAAAGTTCTCTTCCCAACATCATTATTGCCGGAGTTTCTCCCGTTGACTCCTGTACACTTGATCTGTAAGCTAACATGGCATGGGGAAGCAGCTCGTCCCAATCTCTCTGGTTCCTGTCCGGATCGATGAGGGTTCTCACCATGCCAATCAAGGTGCGGTTAAACCGTTCAATCATCCCATCACTCCTGGGATGAAGAGGACACGTACGCGTCTTCTTAATTCCTAGAAGTTTACATACTTCACTCATTAAGTTAGACTCAAAGTTTCTGCCCTGATCAGTGTGGAGCTCATTTGGGATTCCATATCTGCATACAAATTCCTCTACAAAGATATTAGCCACTGTCTTGGCTTCTTGGTTTGGCATAGCATAAGATTCAGTCCATTTAGCGAAATAGTCTCCAATGACCAACACATATCTATTTCCTTTATCTGTCTCGGGCAAAGGTCCCATAATATCCATAGCCACTCTCTCCATCGGGGCTCCAACTCTGTACTGTTGCAAAGGTGCTCTATTCTTCTTAGGTGGATTCTTGGAACGTGCACACACAGTGCATTTCCTAACCCAAGAGCGTACATCAGCGGCTAGTCCTACCCAGTAGAATCTACGTTGAAGTTTGTGTAACGTCTTGTTTACTCCTAGATGAGCTCCTGTTTTTGCATCGTGCAAATCAGCCAAGGCCACTGAGCGTAGGGACTTGGGGAGTACAGTTTTCCAGTTCACTTCCTTACCATCATCTGACTCCCATCTTCGAACTAGAATCTCATCTTTTATTTCCAGTAGCTCCCAGTTTATCCAATATGTCTTTACTGCTGAAGATAGCATAGACATTTCCTTCCACTCTGGCTTCAATTGAGACTTCTCTTTCCATTTCAACACAACACTGATATCACCATCTATTAATTGTGCTTTCCTTATTTCAGCAAAGGTGAAAGAAGGTGAAAGACTTATCGCTTCTACTCTCTCCTCAAGTCCAATCGCATCTCCATTAGTTGGTGTCTCCATTATTCATCATAACACGAATTCTGTATATAAAAAAAAATATATATATATATACGAAATAACACCATAAAATATAACATGTCATAAGTAACTATAGTCTATGTATTAACTCAATCTATCTCTTATCATTGCAGACATCATCAAGCCTGCCGCACTGTGAACAGGGGCGTCGAGATAATCCATCGGCATTAGAATGAATTCGACCTGCTCTGTGCACTAAGGTAAGTCGATACTGGCTAACAACTTCCAGCCATCTGGCTACTTGACCTTCAGGATTCTTAAAGTTCATTAACCATCTCAAAGCTCCATGGTCTGTCCGAACCGTCACTTCTTGTCCATACAGATAATGTCGGAAGTGCTTCAAGAAAACCACAATAGCAAGCAGTTCTCTTCTAGTTACACAGTAGTTTTGCTCAGGTTTACTTAGTGTTCTGCTCGCATAGGCAACTACAACTTCATTTCCCTCTTGCTCTTGTGATAGGACGGCTCCGATTCCATACTTGCTAGCATCAGTATCCAAAATGAACGGTACTCCTAATTGTGGATATGCAAGGATTGGTGCAGTGATAAGATTTTCTTTCATCGTCCTGAATGCAATCTCACATGCATCAGTCCAAATGAAAGGATGTTCTTTCTGGGTAAGGGCAGTGAGCGGTTTGACTACATCCGAGAACTTTTTCACGAATCGTCTGTAGTAAGAAGCTAAACCCAGAAAACTCCTTACATCTGTGGCATTGGTAGGTGTAGGCCAGGTCCTAACCACATCTGTTTTTGCAGGGTCCGTGCTAACTCCTCGTTCTGAAACAACATGTCCAAGATAGAGAACTTCTCGTTGGAAGAGGTGACATTTTTTAGGCTTCAGTTTGAGTTTAGCTTCTCGGAGACGAATGAACACATCCTCTAACCTGTGTACCATTTCCTCAACAGTGGATCCAAACACAACAATGTCATCTAGATAGATGAGGAGGGTCTTCCATTGTAGTCCAACAAATATATTCTCCATTAGTCGTTCGAACGTTGATGGGGCATTACATAGCCCGAATGGCATAACTTCAAACTGAAATAATCCTCCGGGCACCACGAATGCCGACTTCAGTTTTGCATCTTCGTCGAGGGGTACCTGCCAATAACCGGCTGCCAAATCCAGTGTGCAAAAGTATTTTGCACCAGCTAAATAATCGATCGACTCATCAATCCGGGGAAGGGGAAAAGAGTCTTTCACCGTGTGCTTGTTCAGCTCTCGATAATCAATACAAAACCTCTTTGATCCATCCTTCTTTGGCACTAACACTACAGGCGAAGACCATGGGCTTGCTGAAGGTTTAATAATGCCTCTATCTAGCATATCTTGTACCTGTTTTTCCATCTCTTCCCTTTGGCCAATTGGGGAACGTCGTGGTCGCTGTCGGATTGGTGCTAGGCAAGTCGTATGAATGCTATGTCTCACTTTGTCTGTCTTGCCAATGTCATGATCACCCCGGGAGAACACATCCTGGTAGTCAGAAAGAAGTTTTGCAAGTTTTAGATAATCTGAGCTGTCATTATTCACCTTAGACTTCTCATATAAATCATGGAGAAATTCGGGAACTTGGGTAGCTACATCAATATCCACATTCACATCAATCTGTCTTGTAAGCAAGGTTCCTCCATCAGAGTTTGTACACTGAATGACATTACCATCCATTATCAGCTCACATTTGTCACAGTCTATTGTGCTCTTTGTGGCTAGTAACACATCCATACCTAGTATGCCATCATTCTGAATGTTCGCTACCAAAAACTTGGTTGATAGATAAGCTTGTCCAATTTGCATATTCATAGTTGTAGTCCCAAAAACTCTCACTGGTGCACCATCAGCTTGCTGGAGTTTGATATTAGTGCATTGAAGATCAGTTTCCTCATCTTTTCTAATCCTATTATAGAACGTTTGTGACATTATAGTACTCATAGCTCCAGTATCAATGAGAAAACTAACTACGACTCCATTTATCCGAACTGCAATGAACATTCCTCTCCTTGCCTCATTTATTACGCAGACAGTTAAACTGGCTGCATTTACATCCTCGGACCTTGTTGAGTTGACCGTCCCCCGGTCCATCGGGATGGTCTGCTTCCGTTTCCCTGGGTCTGTTTAGGGCAGTATTTTGCCATATGACCATTCTCTCTACAATTGTAGCAAACTATTCCTACTGATTTGGATTTGTCCATGTTCATTTCCCTCATCATTTCCATCATCTCCCCAAGACTTGACTTTAACCCATCAATTTCCTTTCTCATCTTGTCTACAGGGATTGGTTCCACATTGCTTTCCATGCTACGAACATGACGAGCTGGTCGAGTACGTTCACGAGCCTTCTCAGCCTTGCCGAAAGACTCAGTTGCCAATCCTGCTCGGATAGCATCATCAAGCGTTATTGCATGGGCGCGGAAAATTCCTGCTCGAACTTCTACATCCTCGATAGCATCAGAAAAGTGCCCTCGTGCAAGCCTCTCTCGTGCATCTCTGCTTAACTCCGGGTATGCCAGACAAGTTAAATCTCTGATTGCCTGACCTAGCTCCTGTAAGCTCTCCTTTGGTTGACGACGCCTCGTCCTCAATTCCAATAAGAAATTCTCAGCATCCTCTCCTGGACCAAATCTACGCTCCAAATGTGACGCAAGTTCAGAATAAGTAAGCTCACGACCAATGGGAATATTGTTCAACACTTTCAGTGCTGCTCCTTGAAGTCTTGTGGCTAGAAATTGTCCAGCCTCCACATCATTCCATCTATTTAGCTTCATGCAGACATCAAAATGTCGGCGATAATCTGTCCATGGAATTCTGCCTGCAAACTTGTCTGGAAGAACATCTCTCATTCCAGAGTTTGAACCTCTTCGTCTCCTAGAGTCGGTGGATTGGTTACTCGCAACATAAAGCGGATGATTCTGGAAGTCAGTAGGTGTTAACACCTGGCGCCTCTCTCCAGGTATAGCATCTCCAAAGCCTGACATCTCAACAGCGATTTCCGGATCTCGCTCGTCTATTGCCCAGCGTCTTTGGACTTCTTTCTCATCATTGCCAGAGTCACCGGCTGCCATTTCTCCAGGTTGCTCACTAACAGGAGCATCCATCTCAATCTCGTAAATCCCTATTTGATTAATTTTGAGTAACCAAACAAAAATATCTGTCACCTTGTACCTTTACAATGTAAAAGGAGTAGAGCTCCTTCTTAATATTTATTCACATTGAATATTCATTGTGCATGTTAAGTAGAGTACACTAACTAAATCTTAACTAAGTAACTATAGGTACACTATTACTCTTAACTAAGCCTTGCTTAATATAGCTTGGTATGCACTTCTGGATGACTATTGATTCTGAACTCGAGTCCTTTATTTCACAGTAACGGCAGTACTCCTTTGACTGCCTTACTCGAATACAAACTAAACTATCGGCTCAACAGATCCTTGCTGTCTCTTGCTTAAGCTTTAGTCTTGACCCACTCGATTCAGACCTCAATACCAATTCTGCTAACTCATAACCACTTAAGCACAATCTACATAATTACATGTATGCCGTGCACTGCACACAGTAAAAGTCAGCTCATGGAATAGATTCAAGCAAAAGTAAGTCAGTGATCAGCTCTTCTCTTCAACCAGAGCCTTGCTCACGAGTGTCCGGCATCAATAACCCTCAGTGGATTTGTCGCCATCAACATCAAGCCATAGCATAACCATACTTAATATACAGTAACCCTACATGTAAGTTAATAACGTACTTAGTCTGGTTCACATTAGCTACTTAATGCTTAAGTTTATCTGTCATGTCTAAAACATCGTAAACAACTTGCTGGTACTTTTACTTGCCAATTCACCTCAAAAATTCACTGGAGGAATACTCATCTCCAATTATTTGCAAGTACAAAATTTCTCAAGAAAATGCGCCATTTTGTTCGAACGAAATCATCCCACCGCTGCCACCAAATGTGACGGAATAGGGGGGGGGGGGGTGGTTAATAGATAATACAATAGAGGAAGAAAGAAGGGGGTATGGGAGGAAGAAGGGGGGTAAAGAGGAAGAGGGGTGGTGGTGTTGTAATTCCCCAGTGAGAGAGAAAGGGGGGGGGGGTGCTTGCATCGCTTGCCACCAAAATCAAGTCAACCTTCACAACACAGTAAGCTGCCACCATCTAGTCTTTAGTAAGAGCGCTAGATTCTCTTCTCTTTACAACTTGATGTTGTAAAGAGATTAATACCAGACCTGTTGGATCACACAATAAACGATATTTAAATGACTTAATTATTCACAAATCACAGCCTTCTCATTGGCTCATTTCGCACCTCTTGAATTCAACACAACGCACTAATGGTCAACCTTTGACCTGAACCCTGGGCTCTCGTAAACATTCGCGCTAGATTCAACTCGTGCCACGAGCAGCCTGGCTCATCTCCACACTGTTCCACACTTCAAGTAGCTTGTATTTCTTCATTTAGGTGAGTTAAAGCATCATCATAAGATCTGAATAATTCTGTCAGTACTCTGTAAGCATGATTTAATCCTAATATTTGTATCAGACTTGTACAGCTCAGATTCTCTAACGTTCTGCACAACACACTGCAAACATGTGACAGGGCACACTGGGTGTCCTGTACACGCAGTTAAAACACACACATTATTCACACTCGTATCTTGGGGCACTTTCTCTCACGTCCTCTATCCCAATCCTCCCATAAGGTAGCGAGCAATCTAAAGGCACAATGACATGGATAAGTGTCTGAATAGAACCAGACAATGATTTCGTTCTTCAAGTTCTCAATCGCGCTATCTAAAGAAGATGTAAAAGTACCAATCACCATTCACACTTAACTAACTACTGTAACTAATGTGTAACCAGACATGTATTACTGTAACTTGTAAGAATGAATCTGTCAGCCTAATTGTTCAGGTGAACAAATAACAAGTAACACTTTATTAATGGATTTCAATTAACAGTGAGGCTTTCATGCCTAATTCAACGTTGACGTAATTCAACTCGAAAATGTATGCAATGCAATTACTAAGTATAAGAGTTCAAATGTACATTATATACAGATGTGTTGTCACTTTTGTCAGACAACCAATCATTTACCTAAGTGATACTAACTTAATTGTATAGACTATAATAGTAGATGCAGTATTATGTTAAAGAGTTCTATAGGGACAGGTTTAAGATGTTACAATAATAGATCATTAGCAACTGAATTCTATTCCAAAGTGTACCTTTTCTTTCCTTCTAAAACATGAGAAAGTAATTCTATTCCGGGCACAACATAGCCACTTCATCTTACGGTCAATCTAGGCTGACCAGCAGCCATCTAATAATTACTTCATTCCAAGTTCAAGTACAAATACTTAACTGCCTTCCTTCTTATTGCCTAGGCATAATCAACTTATGGTATTCGGATTCACCGCTCAACGGGTATTTTACTTACTGGTCTATCCACCCCTAATCTCGTCATGGCAGCTCACTCTGTCGGCATAACCATGCGATCTTTAATCCTTAGGTCTTTACAATAGGTTATAGCCTCAAATTTCCAATTCCTATCCTATTGCTAACTTCCAGAATTACTAATCAGTTCTAAACGTACTTTAATCTTAAGACAACCGGTTTGTCTAGGGATTCGTTCCTTGCTCTCTGTAATTCAGTGCTTATTAAGGGATCATTATCAATAAGTGTTACTAAGATAAAATATACATGTAAGTTACAGCTCCATAAATACATAAGCTACTTATATTAATTTGTACATCATTAATTGTTGAATTGTGAATCTATTTACAAGTGACTAAATCTTATGCAAGTAATAGCATCAGATCGTATTTACTTTGTTCATAAATATGACGAATATATTTAAAGTACAACTATATAGAATACAATTATTAAATATACAAATGTTCAATATATATAAGTTACAACTGCTTTACATGTAGATAGATATATTCTTAAACTACTAGGTACAGGTGACAGACTAAGTTACTGAGGCCCTCAGCCTCGTCCTCCAGAAATTCATATTACTAGTAATGTATTAGGTCACACAGCAGATATGGTCTATAGTCTAGAGTAAAAATCGATAATAAAAGAGAAAATGTTCCAATGACCAATTAAATAATCAGTCCTCCATTGAATAATAAGCAGTAGCACTAATATTCAATATCTCACAAATAGATAAAAGTTTGTACATGTATAAACATTCTTAGAACTACTTGTCACAGAAACCAGATTGGAATTGGTTAGACCTTTAGGTATACCCGCAAAGGATCAGTTAGTCAAACTATCCAGCGACCTGAAGTACACCTAATTTCAGCGTAGCTAATGATTTATTAGCTACAAAGAGTAAAATCTCTCAACCAAAAGTAATAAATTAAGGGAATATGTTCACCACTTCCAATGCTCATTTCTTAACAGTGACTGTGATATCTGAACTGACATCTCTGTAATGCAATATAATTGTAAAGACATTTTATTAAGTGTTGCATTATTCAATAAATAATTACTGGCACAGTAATATAAAATCCAAGAATTCATGTCCATTTTGTGTATTCTGTTTCAGTTCCAAGCATACATATTGATAACTATTATCTGATAAATGAATACCAATATAACAAGCATCCATATACACAGCAGTCATACTAATCATATGCACAATACCAATTTGGCTAGTTTTGGGCCATCCCATTTTGGCTAGTTTTGGGCCATCCCATTTTGGCTAGATTTTGGCCAATCTGCTTCTGGCCTGTATTCGATTCGGCCTTAAAAACCATGAAAATACACATTTAACTCTAAAATAAACATTAAAACATCAATTTTGGTACAAAGTCCAATAGATTGATCAACATTTGTTGTTGGTGCAATGCAAATCAGCTAATCTGCATATGAATAGCAATGGGCGGAAACGAAAGGAATAATTACCGTAAATCTCGGTTCAACAAGGTTCACAGACAGGTCAGTTTCACAGCGCATCTAATGCCAAAGTGTACAGCCTAGCCACATCGATCAAACTCGGCTATCACATATCAGCGCACTACCATGCGCTATGCGCGTATGCTTTAACCACGCGAATATGTACGCACATGAATATTCATAAATCTTCGCAATAACTATTTCAAAGTAAGTGCGATTACATCAAATAATTTGTAACCTTTATACAAAGAGAAATATATTGATCAAAATAAAGTAAGAGCCTTATTCCGAGAGTACAGACATTTAGAATAATGGTAAGTCAGCCTGACAGTATAACTCAGCAATTTAACAAGTGAAATAGACAAAAATATATGAAAAGATCGAAAAATCAGTCCCACATATATATTTTGGTGTTTCAAGTCAGTTTTATAAAAATGAACAAGTTAGATTTTACGCTGACCGTCACATTATTATTATTATTAATATTATTATTTTAATGTGACTTGTATCTGCATCTCTCAACGTCTAGGGAAATAAAAAAGCGGAAAAAAAAGTATTTTAAGAAGAGTAAAACAGTGACAAGAATATATGTTTATATTATCATTCAGAAGAGGAAGAAGAAGAGGAAGAAGAATGAAGAAAAAGAATGAAGAAGAAGAAGGAGGAGGAGGAGAATTAGGAAAAGAAGAAGATGAAGAAGAAGAAGAAGAGGAGGAGGAGGGAGAGGAGGAGGAGGAGAAAGAGGAAGAGGAAGAGGAAGAAGTAGAAGAAGAAGAAGGAATATTTTAAAGGAAAAAAAGGTGTAAATTCTGTAGACAGGGTAACAGTAAATCAGGAAAAGTACCAAGCATGCGCATGCCAAGTAAATTGCTTCACTCAAAAATTGAATACGTTGGAGAAGTTTATAAATTGCACCTAGATTTAAAAAAAAATGGTATTTCACTTTGCATTTGTAAGAAAAAAAATTGCTTTTAAATTTTATCTGAATAATAGTTTAAAGGGACTATGTCCCATTTGCAGGCCAAAAAAATGAAAAAGTTAAATTCCAACTGCATTTGAAAGATAATACTAATTTAGAACTTCCCTAAAAAAGGTGTGGCTTGAAAATGTCTTCAAGTGGGAAAATAACGACTATTAGTTGTCAAATCGACTTTAGGGCTATAGAGCCCAAAAGTAATAGTCTTGATTTTCAGACAATTGTACCGAATGGTCATACGTTTTATGCTGCGCAAAGATTCAATCAGTTTAATCTTGGCCATCACAAGAAGTGGGTTATTGATGTAGACAAATGCTCATGTACCCTTTACAACTCTTTTCATGTATGTTATTACCAAATAAGAAAAAAAAAGCCAGTCAGTCACTCAATAGTGTCTGACAGTGAAGTCTAGCAAGTAAACGGTTTTCCTTGCATAATTTGAATATGAGGACACTGCTAACGTTTACATTTCACAGATAGGACATACATGACATATTCATAATTCCTGCAAAGTTCTACAGCATTTGAGGTTGGCTGCAAAAGGGACATAGTACCTTTAATACTACAGATTTTTATATATTTTCATTCAAATGTATGACATATTCAATTCAATGATTTAATTTCAATCAATGATTCAAAATTCCTTAAGTTGCAATTGAAATGTCAGTGTGTAAGCTCTCAATAAGAATGAATGGTTACTTTTTCCATTTGTGCAGGTCTGGAATGGTTTAATACTTCAGGACCATTATCATTCAAGTCAAACTTGCAAGGCAAATTGGTTGTGCTAGACTTCTTCACATACTGTTGCATTAACTGCATGCACATCCTGCCTGACCTGGAGGCACTGGAGGAGAAGTACTCAGTAGAGGACGGTGTTGTCGTTGTTGGAGTCCACTCGGCCAAGTTTGAGAACGAGAAAGTATCTGCAAACATCAAGAATGCCATTCTTCGTTACAATATCCATCACCCTGTGGTGAATGATCATGATGCCGTGATGTGGAATGACCTCAACATCCAGTGCTGGCCGACCTTGCTCATCGTTGGTCCATCAGGAGAACCTATCCTCTCCATCATCGGTGAAGGGCACAGGGATATTCTCTTTGAAGTGGTCCAACTATCTCTTGATCACTTCAAATCAAAGCTGAGTCCGCAAAGCCTTCCTGTCGTTGCCCTCAAGGATTCGTTGGTCGACTCTCCGCTGCTCTACCCTGGCAAGGTCACCACCAACCCTGAAGGGACACTGCTGGCTGTATCTGACACAGGACACAACAGGGTGATCATCGTGGCTCTTGATGGAGTGGTACAACACTGCATTGGAGGTCCAGAGACTGGCTTTAATGATGGACTCTACCAGGAAGCAAGGTTCCACTCCCCTCAAGGTCTTTGCTGGGCCCAAGATGTCATTTATGTAGCTGATACAGAGAACCATGCCATTAGAAAGGTAGATAATCATGATGCTTTATATCTATTTCCAGCTGGGAAATGTGAGAGCCTATAGAACAAAAATTACTTTCTTGTTCAAAATAGTGAATTTATATCAGCTACAGCATTGATCAATTTCTGTGGAGCAATATTAATGCATCTTTTGTTCTGTTTACCAGAAATCATTTTAACCTTTCCGGAGATGAATTAATTGTTACTCCTTTGCAGGCTTCAATAATGCATATTAAAACCCTTTATATTATATAACTTTCTTTTGTTAACTCTCTCAGATTGACTTGAAGGAGAAGCGCGTCACCACCATAGCGGGTACAGGAGAGCAGGGCGTTGATTGGTATGGGGCTGGGCGTGGCACAGAACAGGTTATCAGCTCCCCCTGGGATGTTGTACTAGGACCTCCAAATGAAGATGTTCTGTTCATTGCCATGGCAGGCACTCATCAGTTATGGGGACTGTTTCTCTCAGACGGCCATTGGCTAAAAGCAGTGTAAGTAGTACCAAGTACAATATTGATCAGTATCTGTATTTAGATTAATGATGCTAAGGTTTAAGCTCCATGAAACCTGTCTCCTAATCGTGTATATTTCTTGATAATCCTTTAAAATATTGTCTGCTTTTGAGATCAAGTCTTATTAAAAAGGGTGAGGGAAATTGCTTTGTCTTATCAAATTTCCAATGCAAATTACAGTCCAGTATATCTCAAAGTTCACTATCAAGAATATTTCATATTCATATTCATATTCATATTCAAATTTATTGTCCAATGATTGGAAATTTGTTTCATTTGCATGTCGGTACAAGGTTACACATTATAAACATCAATAAGATACATATGGGTACAGAGTAGAACATTTAACTTGGACATAGGTAACAACAAATGCGATAGTTCAACATGCAGACTAAAATTCGATTCATAAATTAAGTAGTTAAATTCAGTTCAAGTTCGGATTAAATTCATTCGCAATTCAGATTAAATACAATTAAAAATTTAAACCAATTCAATTCGTAATTCAGATCAAATCCATTTCAAATCCCGATCACATTCAGTTCGTAATTCAAATGAAAATATAATTAACAAAATCAAATCACATTCAGTTTATAATTCAAACTAAGTAATAAAATTACATTCATAATTCGGGTTAAGTTAAGTTCATAATTCAAATTCAATACAGTTCATGATTCAGACAGATTCAATTCATATTTCAGGAAATAATTCAATTCAAATCCCGATCGCGTACAATTCATAATTCAGATTAAATTAAATTGACAATTCAGGTTAAATAAATTCGTAATTCAGATTACTACAATCTATAATTCACATCAATTCAATTCGTAGTTCAGATTAATATAAAATTAACAATTCAAATCAAATTCAATATATAATTCAAACTAAGTAATTAAATTATATTCATATTTCGGGTTAAATTAAATTCACAATTCAAATGCAATACAATTTATTCTTCAAACCAGTTCAGTTCATATTTCATAATATAATTCAACTCAAGTTCCGATCACCTAGAATTCATAATTCAAATTAAATTAGTTTACAATTCAGATTAAATGCAAGTTATAATTCAAAAATAGGTGATTACATTCAGTCATAATTCAGATTAAGTTAGGTTCACAGTTCAAATTAAATTCACAATTCAGATTAAATTCAGTTTATTATTCAGACTTAGATTAAACCCTCCTCGTTCATCAGCCTGATTGAGCTTGGCACAAATGAATTTAGAAACCTGCTCGTTCTGGACCTTAGAGATCTTAACCTGTTTCCTGACCTCAGGGCTACATAATTATTATTTAAGGGGTGACGGCTGTTATGGTAGATTGATTTCGCCTTGTCGAGTACTCTATTTCTACATATATCTTCGAAGTCTAGATTCTTCCCTACAATTTTTTCCGCTTGTTTAACAATTCTTTTTAGCATAGAAAAGTCTACTTTTCGACATGCTGTGTACCACACAACGCAGTCGTTTACTATTATGCTCTCTATCACAGACTTGTAGAAAAGGTACATTATAGTGCGGTCTACGTGAAAGGAATTGAGTTTACGAAGGAAATATAACCGTTGCTGCCCTTTCTTGTACAGCTCCCTACAGTTGTCATCCCATTTCAGCTTGTCATTAATTACAGTGCCAAGGTATTTGTATGATTTCACTATCTCTATTTCTTTTCCGTTTATTTTCATTGGGCAGCTACTTGGATCTACGGGTCTTACTTTCCTAAAGTCAATTATCATCTCTTTTGTTTTCGTAGTATTGAAGTCCAGAAAGTTTTCATTGCACCACTCAGTAAACCAGTTTAGATAATCTTCGTATTCAGTCTCACTTCCTCTGATATTCCCAACAATAACAGTATCGTCCGCGTATTTCAAGACTGAGACATTTTCCGAAGATGAGCGGCAGTCGTTGGTATACAACACGAACAGGATGGCCGAGAGCACGCACCCTTGAGGAGACCCGATGTTGGTAACAATGGACTCACTCATTGTGTTCTGCACCCGTACTTTCTGCATTCGGTTCTGCAAGAAGTCCACGATCCAAAGTATGAGCGATGGCCTTACTTCAAGACGCTTCAACTTCTCAACAAGCACATGAGGGCGGATGGTATTGAACGCAGAAGAGAAGTCCACGAACAATGCTCGTACGTACGATTTCGTCTCTTCTGTGTGCTTGTATAGCAGATGTGTTAGATAAAGGGTAGCGTCTTGAACAGATTTGTTTTGTTGGTATGCATACTGATGAGGATCAATCAGCTCTCTGATTGGCTGAAGAAGACTCTTTAATATGATACGCTCAAAGCACTTCATTGCGATTGGTGTAAGTGCCACAGGCCGGTAATCATTAAGCTCAGATGGACGGGACTTCTTAGCCACTGGAATGATGGTGGATGTCTTCCAGCAAACAGGAACAACTTTCCTGTCGAGCGAAGTTTGAAATAGCAAACGAAAGGGGGTTGCAAGTTCCTTTGCACAATTTCGCAGAAGCTTTCCGCTGATATTGTCCGGACCCATAGCTTTCCTCGGATTAACTCGGCTGAAGTAAAGAGAAACATCATTCTCCTCGACCCTCAGAGATTCATCCTGGGAACGGATTAACTCATCTCTCTGCGCTTCGATGACATCGATGAATTCGTTGGTATCGAATCGGCAGTAAAACGTGTTGAGTTCATCAGCAAACTTTTGAGGGTCATCGATGTTTTCAAAAGCGTGGTCTTTCCGTTGTTTATAATCAGTCATAGATTGTAAACACTGCCACGCCTCCCTTGGTTTGTGAGCTTGAAAATGGCTTTGCAGCTTCTCTTTATATGTTTGCTTAGCGTTATCTATCTCTTGTCTCATGTCCGCATGAAGACTTTTTAACAATGCTTGGTCCCCAGCAACAAATGCTTCCCTCTTGGCTTTCACTATGGCTTTCAGTTGTGTCGTAATCCAGGGCTTATTATTCGGATAAATGCGTACAGTCTTACTCTGAACATGAAGATTTTGGCAAAATACCACGTAATCATTAATCGTGTCCGCTATCCCATTTAAATTGTCTGAGGCCTCGAAGAAAACATCCCAATCACTTATTTGAAAACACGTTTGTAGCTTTTCAATAGCTTCATTGTTCCACACTTGCACGATTTTTTTGGCGGGTTTCTGAGTTTTTAGTTTTTGTCGGTATTTAGGTAGTAAATGCACTACATTGTGATCAGACAGGCCTATCGGTGGACGAACGATGCATTTGTAGGCATTTTGGATTGAACAATAGCATCTGTCCAAAATGTTCTCCCCTCTTGTCGGCTTATCTATAGCTTGGCAGTAATTAGGCAGAGAATTCTCTAATCGGCAATGATTGAAGTCTCCAAGGATAATTTTGGGTGAATCTGGGGACAGGGCTTCCATTTCCCCAACTATGTCTTGTATGTGTTGAGTGGCTTGATTTCCATCAGCATCTGGGGCAACATAAACTAGAAATAGGTGCACTTGGTTAAACTCGCGGGGTAGATAGAATGGACGAAATGACACACATAGCAGTTCCACATCTTTGTTACAAAATGATACTTTATCATTAAAAAAATCTCTATAAATAGTATTTTCCTGTTAATTTCACATCAGTAATAGGGTAAAAGGAAGTTGTTTATTCCTTATCAAAGCTTACAAGTCATGTGGCCTGTTTAACCAAAACTGAGCTGTTATGAAATGCATATTTTACTTTTACACATTAGCGCAGACAGAACAAGAGTCATTGAAATGATATTGCATGGTTATCTATATATTTTGTCATGAACCAAGAGATATTGAAACAATGTTGCATAATCATCTGTGTATGAGATTTGAATTGTACCAGATTTGATGCTTTTTCTGATCAGTTTAAAACACTTCATCCACATAACAATTCATAATCCTCTTCAATCATTGCTAACAGGAGCCATGATGCTGGAATCTGCATGAACTATGCAGGGAGTGGCAAGGAAGAAAACCGCAACAATTCCTACCCCCGTAAGGCAGGCTTTGCGCAGCCCTCTGGACTGGCCCTGGCCCCCCAGGAGCCGTTCAACTGTATGTTTGTAGCAGACAGCGAGAGCAGCTCAATCAGAAGAGTGGCCTTTAAAGATGGGGCTGTGAAGAATGTTGTGGGAGGTGAAATGGACCCAATGGTAAGAAAAAGAGGATTCTCCTGGGACCTGTTTCACAAAGCCTTTTATCAATGACAAATGACTAAAATCAGTGACAAATCTGCTGATAACCAATCAGAAGCAAGGATTTCAGTAGCTTGTAACAAAAACTGTCATTTGTCAGTGATGACAAGTTTTGTGAACGCCCCCATGGTAGCTTAGCAAAATGTAGTGGCAAGCTAATGGCATAATAGTAGTAATATTTGTTAATTAGAAGTTTGTTTTTGACATATATCTCAATCAAAGTCTAGGTAACATTTAAAGCCCCTCTAAAGTGTTGGGAGCCCAAAAAATTTGATAGCCAAATTTCACTTGAATTGTATCATAATGTGAAAGACGATGTCATTTAAGACACATGTCTGTAAGAAAAACAAATGTGTTTGAAGTAGAATATTGATAAATGGATACAAAATTTACGTTTTCTGCGTACAACAGAAAACCCAAATTATGTATTCTTTTATCAATATTTGTCTTCATATACAATTTTTTTTTTTTTTTTTTTTTTTTTTTTTTTTGGGGGGGGGGGATCTTTGCAGAAGTGTGTCTTAAATGACACCCTCTTTCACACTATGATACAATTCAAGTGAACTTTTGCCATCAAATGTTTGGGGCTCCCAACAAGATTTCAAGAATAATTCCATCCATTCCCTTAACTGAATTAAGGGCACAGACATATAGGAGACCCAGTTGCAATTTTCTTGTTAGGAATATGGTCCTTGATTCAAAGTCATTGTCAGTCCATCACTACGATGATAACCTGTTTGAACCCTTCAGGATTCACTTGCATGGCTTCACAGTCACAGTCCAAATATGCTGGAAGCCATAGACCTGATTAAGATTAGTCATCAATAATTTGCATGCCTTGTCTGTTCTATTTGACAGAATCTGTTTGCATATGGAGATAGCGACGGGAAAGGCCTTGAGGCAAGGCTGCAGCATCCTTTAGGTGTGGCCTGGGATCATAGCAAACTTCTCTTTGTAGCTGACTCGTATAATCACAAGGTAATTGATGCCACAGCTCTAACCGCTTGAGCCCTTCCCAAAATCCAAAATTGTTGCCATTTCCTTATTTTTCCTGTAACTTTACAACTAAATAACCCACATACAAAATTTAAATGTCTAAATCTGTTTAATGCTTGTGAAAATACCTCTTAAACACAGAAGTGACAGTTATCTGTCAAGAGTGGTCTTTAGTAAGGTGTAGGGGTCTAGACTCTAGAGGATCTGTCTCTGGATTATGGCTCTAATGACTCGGGTTCAGGTCTTTACCATGGCATAAATTTCCTTTTCCAAGACATCCACATTTGCAAATCTTTTTGACCAAGGTACCAGATAACGGGTACCCAACAAGCAGAAATTACTGAATTTTTAGCAGCATACTGTCAAAGTTTGACTATCGGAATGCAAATCATATGCCTTATAATTGTTTCACTAGGTATAATAATAAAGTGATAATAATAATAATAATAATAGTGGGTTCTTGTATAGCGCTCATGTCAGTCAGATTTGACCCTCCTGGCGCTCCCGATTATTACCCTGGCTTTAGCACGGCTGCCATACGGCGCTCTAGCATTTCAAGGAATAAATTCCTACCAGGTACCCATTTACTTCACCTGGGTGGAGTGTGGCAAATGTAGATCAATGTCTTGCCAAAGGACATTAGTGCGGCGGCGGGACTCGAACCGCGAACCTTGTGATCGACAGTCCGGCGACGTATCCACTCGACCACAACACCTCTATATAATATAATTAACATGTTTTATGTGAGCTTATAATTTCTATTCTTGTTTTCTAAAATCTCATAATCTGTTCTCTTTCTCTCTCTCTTTTTATATCTCTCACTATCTCCTTTCTCCCCTCTCCCCTCTCCCCTCTCCCTTCTCTCTCTTTCCATATCTCTCACTGTCTCCTTTCTCCGTCTCCCTTCTCTCTCTCTCTTTTCACATCTCTAACTATCTCCTTTCTCCCCCCCCCCCTCTCTCTCTCTGTCCATATCCCTCACTATCTCCTTTCTACCTCCCTCTCTTTCTCTCTCTCTCTTTCCATATCTCTCACTATCTCCTTTCTCCCTCTCCCCTCTCTCTCTCTCTTTCCATATCTCTCACTATCTCCTTTCTCCCCCCCTCTCTCTCTCTCTGTTTCCATATATCTCTCACTATCTCCTCCTCTCTTCCTCTCCCTTCTCTACCCTGGTCCCTCTCCCCCTCTATCCTCTCCCTCTCTCCCTCTCTCTCTCTCTCTCTCTCTCTCTCTGCTATCAATACCTCCTGGTGCCCAGATCAAGATGATTGATCCAGAGGAGCGCTACTGTGCAACATATGCCGGTACAGGAGAACCAGGCAAAGGGGGTGATGACGAGCACATCTTGAAAGCACAGTTCAATGAGCCTGGTGGCCTGGCAATCTCTCCATGCGGGTGTAAGATCTACGTAGCTGACACCAACAATCATACCATCAGATGCATTGACATCAAAACGTCTACAGTCACCGAGGTTAGTTGAAGAGCCAATGGAATGTTTTAGGGTCTGCCTTCTTTGAAAAGGAGTACCAATTTGGTGATCCAACCTATAATTCAGAAGGGTGTTAATTCATAATTTTAAATATAAGGTTAACTTTAAGTTTACAGTTATTTTAGTCTTTTGCTCTTTATCTTTCAGGGGATGAGAAAGGATAGATGCAATAGTACTTGTATTCATGTTATGTATTTGCATATTTGAAAATGCATCAAATTTACATTTAGATATGGACTATAAATACTTTATTATTAACTTACTAAGTTTGTGAAGCCTATTTTATATTACTTTGTGTAAATTTTTTTACAAATTACGGTCAAAATACTCATACTCTCTCTCTCTCTCTACAGCTGAAGGTAGTACTTCCACCTGTCACATCAGTAGACAGTAAGCCCAGTGCTCCAAAGAAAGTCAAGACTATGCTGCCTAAACATGCATCCCCTACGACAGTAGAAGGTTTATCTGTAGGGTTGGATGGCTCGGTCACCCTGGTGCTGGACGTGAGTCTTCCCCCGGAAAGCTATCTCACCGAAGGAGCACCGAGCGCATGGCAGATTTTCATACCAGGTGAGTTGATAGTTGAACCCATTTCCTACAGGAATCGTTGCCTGTGGGAATGAGTAAATGCAGTAGTAGTTGATGGATTTAAAGGGATTGGGTATCTTTGTCTCAGATTCTAAAACAGGATCCCGGATTTAGCTCATGCTGCAGTGATTATTATAAACCTTTAGGTCAGTCAGAAACCCCATGACTTTTACAAGCCGATCACATGTCTGATTATCAAGATATTTATGATTGGAAATCAAAATTTCAAATTTTTTTTTTTCCTAATGTTCTTATAACACTACAGTCAATTGGGGAAGTGAATATTGTAAAACCGGTCATTCCAAGATTTTTACTTTTTTGAGGCACTTCCTGATCATTTTGAAGCGCAATTTTTTTAAGGCTTCAATATTACACCATATCACAGACACTGGTAACACATAGGGCCATGTATTTCAGATTTAACATATAAGAGTTAAATGATGCCTTTAACATGGGAGAGGTGAATATGGTTATGTGGGCTTGCTATCATGTTTATATGCACGTAGAGGATTGAAATCTTGAAGGGTACACCAGCCAGCTTGTTTGATTGACCTCGGGTCACTTTTAAGATTTTAATAGAAGTTACATTCTTTCTCTCAGAGCTAAATGATACTTCTACAAAAAGTTACCTTGAAACTTGAATACATGTAGTTTTTCGTGATAGATTTTACAACATATTCTTTCTCTTTTGGGAGACAAAAAGGGGCTGCTTAAGACAGGTGGCCTTTAAATAGAGATGAACACTGTTCATTTCCATTTCTGAATGCCCTTGAATTCATATGTTTGTGCTGTTCTTTTTCCTTTGCCCCTTTTTTATAGGCTCAGAACCTCAAGCGGTGATGTCAACAACCAGGCTGGAAAGCCTTAGCAACCCTTTACCTTCCTATACCTGGACACCTCCACCAGACGCCCAGCTGCCAGTGACATTGCAGGTGGAATCAACGCTCTACTACTGCCTCACCTCCGGGGTGTGTAAGCGGCAAGTCTTGGGATATAGTGTACCTGTCACAAGGCAGGAGGGAGCTCCCCAGGATGTCAAGGTTGAACTGTCCCATCAAGTACTGGAAGATTCTTGAAATCTTCTCTGCAGCTACCAGTGACTCAATTTGCAGGCTGAATGTACTCTCTACCAATGCCTCCCCTCGGGGGTGTGTTGGTGACGGGTCTTTGGATTATGTGAACCTGTCCCCAGGCTGTTAAAGTTGAACTATCTCATCCAGTTCTAGACAAATTCTTAAAAACATCTGTAGCTACCGGTGGTATTTTAAGTAAAACCAAAGCTCTATTTGCCATTAAGTGTGTATTTCCTGGCAGATTGTTGAATTTAGTGTACATCATACAAGGCAAGATAGAGCTTCCTAGACTATTAAGGCTGAACTGTCTCATTGAGTACTAAAATATTCTTGAAAGCTATCATAGTTACAAGTGACATTACACAGATTGAATCAGGACTCTAGTACTGCCTTCTCTCAAAGAAGTGTTGCCATTAAGTATTTGGATTTGTAAAGCAGGAAGGGGTACCCGAGACTGTTAAGGCTGAACTGTTGCATCAAGTACTACAAGATTCTTTAAAGCTTTGATCTGCACCTACCAGTGACTTCGCAGGCTGAATCTAGTCTCTCTACCACTGCCTCCCCTCAGGAGTGTGTTGGCAACAAGTCTTTGGATCCGGTGTACCCGTCACAAGGCAGCATGGGGCGCCTCAGACTGTGAAGATTGAACTGTATTCACTTATTACCAGAAGACTCATGAAGGTAGAACACTGGAAGTCTGTGGAACTTCTTATCAGCTGTCTGTATTCTTATACATGAACTTCCACCTGAAATAGAAAGCAATGCTCTAGAGGACATTTTATAATTATATTATTTACATTTTTTGATATAAAAACCACATCAATGTTGTTTCATTTGTGATGCATTCTTTATATTATGTTATTCTTCTTATGTACTCTGTTTCTCATGAATAGGAGCTAAAAAATGAAATCACCTGAGTAATATATGTAAATATGGAAATGTATATTTTGGTATTAAGTGCAAGTATTAAGAAAAATGTAACAAAATACAAATATATACAAGTGGAAGGTTGAACCATTATAAGAATGTACATACCAGTAATTAACATTCAAACCTAGTCACAATAACTATGAAGAAGAAATGTACATACACATTGAAAATTTTACTATACGGTATTTACAAAAAAATTGGATGATGGAATAAGCTGAAATTTTGCCTAAAATGTGTGTGCACTTTGCAGACTGATCTTCATTTCAGACATGTTGTCTATTCAAATAAATTGGCACAGCATGCATTCCCACCCTATGTATGATAGAATATATGCTTTCATACAAGATTTGGATAATAATTTTATCGAGGATTTACATGTATTTAGTGCTCAAGCTAGAATACCAATTTTTGTGTTCACACCATATTCTGGTAACCATTTAACACCCGGATGGAGAGTTCCAAATGTTGATTAATGACTTGCCAAATGACACTATTGCCATGCCGACCGGGTTTGAACCCATGAACTTTGCATCCACAGTCAGGTGGTGCAAACCACTTAACTATGACACCTGTAAATATATAAAGACATATTTACAAATTACACAAGTGGTAAATAAAAATTAAGGATTTGTGAGTCATAAGCTCTCAGGTAACATCAAATAATAGATAAAGAGAAAATGTTGCTTCCATTCTTCTGTGCTTCCTACATTTCTCTTGTGAACAGAATCCATTTTCTAAATCATTTTGATGGTCTTCCTCTTTAAAAAGTAAAGCTCAAGTTTTGTGAAATAAGAAAAATATTCTGAGCTTATATCATAATTTTCAGAAATTCCATCTTGACCTAAGGGTAGAAAAAAAACATGCACAGTAATTAACCAAATGTGCTCAAATCACAAGGTATTGGATTTATATGGCAGTTATATTTATTGCATACCAGTAACCATATATATGTTTCTTCTTAATTAATCTCAAATCTTTAATGTTTAAATACATTTCTGCCTGCAATGGTCATTGGAATATCTTTTGGCCATATGTTATACAGCATTATATATAAATATGGTATGAGCAAAGAACAGTCAAACTGTGGTTTGGTATGTAATTTTTTTGGCATATACAGTATTATATATGAGTATGGGCAAAGAACAGCAACAAATTTGATTTGGTATGTATTTTTTTGGCAAGAAACTATGAAGTGAAATGAATAATTATTCTTGTGTTATTGTATTATACTATTTTTGTACTTTATACATGTGTTTTATTTGGGCACACTAAACTCAGATTCATATAAGATTTAAACTCTCTTGATGTCTACTTTACTTAATATGATCGAGTTATTACCAGGGGGAACAGAGGTTCACATTAAATGGGGGGGGGGGGGAGTGAGAGAGAGAAGCCTGAGAAGAGAGAGAGAGAGAGAGAGAGAGAGAGAGAGAGAGAGAGAGAGAGAGAGAGAGAGAGGGTAAGAGAGACAAAGGGGGAAATGATATAGAAGTGGGCATACATAGATAATTCAATTCAATGAATTGATTCATCAAAATTAAATGAATTGAAATTTAACATGGCGTTTATTTATAACCAATTAAATATAAAAACAACAAGAACAGTAAAAATCTAAATAAATAGGTTGAAATAAATAAGTGATAAATATACATCACATGCAGAAGTTACAGCTGGGACTGTTCACATTTCACATAACATGATTAATGACAATATCAGATTAAAGGTTGAGAGGCATCCACACAATTTAAAATCACTAAGAGAAAGTATAAAAGGAGAGAGAGGGTGATAGCTAGAGGATCAAGGAGGAGCTGAGAGGTCAGAAGAAGGGGAAGGTTTGATATATAGGAAGAAAGGATAGAAGGGAATGATAGCTAATGATAAGTAAAGAGCAGATAAGTAGGGAGAGGATAATGGAAAATAAAAGCGAGAGGACAATGAACGCGAGAAAAGACAGCTTGGAGAGAAGGGGGAGGGGGCATCAATTATGCACATCCCCCAAATTGACAGATATCAAAGATGATTCACTGTTTTTATGAATAAGAACACGTTTTCTCTAAAAGGGGAAAAGGGGGTGGAAAAGGAAAGAAGAATTAAGGAGCTAATTGGTGGAGGTGGAGGAGGAGGTGGAGGCAGGAGGAGGAAGAAGATACAAAGAGCAGTGTTGGGGGCGAGGGGGCTGATACAACTTACTACGGTATAGTATCTGACTAGTAATTCGTAAAGCGGCTGCCACGCAAAAAAGAAGTCGAATTTTTCATTCAAAATGTTGTCAATTTTAGGAGGCATTCTGGAAGACGAAATATCGTCAGGTTCTTCTGATGATTCTGACCACTCGTCAAGTAAACCAAATCAACAAGATCCTAAACTTGATAACAAAAATGACGCATGCAAATCTGGATTATGTGACCGTGATCCTGTGCCTTCGCAACAGTTTTCGTCCCCTCGAGTTCCGGCGGACAATTCATCCAGCAAGCCGGTAAATGCTGGGAAGGCAGCTGAATCAGCTCTAGCAGGAGACATGACAAGATTTCGCTTAAAATTTGATCAGCTTCAGGTAGATCTACTAATAATATTCTTGTAATAATCAATCTGTGATATTTATCATGATATCTAACAATACAAAAACGCGTAAATAAAGTAAGGAAGGAGGAAATAGACTAGATCCTAGGCCTACATGCAAAATATCTGTGTGTAAAAAAAAAAATCATGATCTGCAAAATTGAATTGTAAATTGTGAAGGCATCAAAACACACGAAAACCAAAAAATTACACATAGGCCTACTCACAAACACTTTATTATCACTGATTACAACTGCACTCGCATAAAAGTTGTAAAATCATAAATCATCCTAAAAACCTGAATATTTCTGCCAAAAATGTGATGTCCGTGAGAAAAATCTGAAAGCCTTGTGAAGTTGTGATAAGAAACCTGTGCTAAGTTTTCAGTATTTCCCACAAAATGTCTTAGAAATTTCAGAAGTTGCAAGAACAACGTATACAAGCAGAAGAAGAGAAAGTTCCTGAGGGATACAAAAGGCGGAGGAGAAGGAGGAAACGCAGACATGAACATCAAGGTTAGAATTTTATGATTTTTATCAGATGATGGGTTACCAAAGTTCACAAGATTTTTGAAAATATTAGAAAATGTGATATTCAATCTAATATTCCTCAAAATCGTTGCCGTATCGAGGGGGGGGGGGGTGTTTAGGGTGTTCAAACACCCCCATTGGCAAACGGGGTATTTAGGTGTTTAAACACCCCCTCCCCTTTGGCAAAGGGGGGTGTTTCAGAATTTTAAAGACGCCCTTTATCTATGTTTCAGGTGTTCACAAATGGGGGAAGACAAAAAAGTAAAACATTTGTTTTCTTTGTTGTGCTTTCATCTTAAATGAGATTGCACTTAAACCTTCAAAACCCCATTACCAAAGTAATATTTGAATCTCATATTTTGAATGGGAGTAGGGTCTATGTACGACATCGAACTAGCTGTACTAAAAAGTTGTACTAAAATCACTCCAGGTATGGGCTCTTCAAATTGTCACACCCATTTCTATCAAATTTACAGAAGGTGAAGGCGATGACCATGGTTGCGATCCTAGCAATAGGCAACAGACTGGCCAGCATGGTACAGATCCATCCACTTCTCAACCAGAAGGAGGTCCACCCAGGAAGAACAGCGAACACTTGGATACACTGAATGAGTATCTTGATGTCAACTCCCATATCAGTCAGGGTATCGACCACGGACACCTTGCACCAGATAAGGTGAGTGTAAAGGGTTATATTGATGTTAACTCTCGCATCAGTCAAGCTACGGATAATGGGCCCGTTACTCTGAATAAGATGAGTATAGAAAGGTACTTTAAAGTTTGCTTGTGTTAGTTAAGGTGCGAACAATGAATACCAAAAAAGGTGCATGTACATGTACCTGATGATTGCTGATGATATATTTGTAATATATCGCAAAGATGGATGCATATGCTGGCATACTTACAGATAATAATGGTTTTACACTTTAAAAGAAATGCATATGCAAATTTGTAAAACTAAAGAAATAATTGTAAAGATCACTGAAAACATATGCGCTGATCAGTTCAAGTATTAACATTTTGTTGTTGTTGATTACTTGAGCCATCAAAGTATGCTAATATTTATCAGTGCAGTACTGCAGTATCATACAAAGGAAATGTTGATCTGACACTTCGGTTAGACTGATTCCTCATGGCAAATACATCGTGGCCTTAACCATTTAATAAATTTTGTTTTTACATTTCAGTCTGGTCTGGAGAAGAGGTTAGACGAGGCTATCGCTGAAGGTGACTTTGAGAAGGCAGAGAAGCTGAGTGAAGATCTGTCTGTGAGGGATTTAGGATGCAGAATAGCAAAGGCTGCAAATGCTCGTGATTACATGAAATGGAAATTGGTAAGGAGCTCAAATCACTCTTTTACTATACAAAAACAGCATATATTGGGGAAAGCTGCTTTTTGAAGATTCTTCTTTTTAGGTATTGGGTTTACCATGAACTGTCAACTAACGGTGTAAAACAAAAGTGTCCAATTCCATTGGCTAAAATGGATGAAGGAGTAATCTGAGATGTTTTGTGTTGTGAGCAGATGTTCTTCATATTTCATCAGTACTTGTAAGCTATTTTTAGCAAGCAGATTTGATGTTGCAAAGAAAGCAAATATTGAACAATAATTTTTTGTAGTATTGAATGAATAAATCACAATTTTGTTATTTACATCCAGGAATGTTTGCATGCAAGAAATATAGATTCACAAAAATTAGAATAGAGCCTTCATTTTACGTGCAAATGAGATACACTTGAGATGCATTTGATTGTATAGCACATACATGACGGGTTACCTGTGGAGAAATGTTTTGAGAGAAATGCTATTGAAAGAGTTCAAACAAATAATTGGCTTGTATTATTGTTCATTATATTTTATTGTCTATAGTGTTCTAATACACAGACAGATTTACATGTAGAGAAATGCTATCGGAAGAGTCCAAACAATAATTGGCTTATGTATATTTTTCATTGCATGTTTTATTGTTTCTTCGCCTACAGGAGAGAGAAGAAGAGAAAGCAGCCAAAAAGAGGAAGAAAAAGAAGAAACTTGCGTGGGGATTTGAAATCAAGAACAGATGGGAGATGAAAGCCAACATGTAGATGAAGCAAGATTTATATGAAGAACAAGTTGGAAAATAACTCCAAAGTGAAGAAGGACCCTCGCTCAGGACTTGACACTAACTTCTTCTTTTAAGGGATTTCAAAATAGAACTTTTTACAGTCTGAATGCATGAGCCCTATATACAAATTTCAAAAGTTTGGGGGTCCAGACTGATATTTGGCCACCCATGTGTCCTGGGCGTCTGGAAGTGTTAATCCATGCTCTTAGCATACCAAGGAGTTGAATGTAGAATACCGGTATATGTCTGTTGATTTAAGGAGGATACACAGATTTTACAGATATATGCTATTTCTTCCATGCAAACATGCCATCAAGCTACTCCAAGAAGTTGATTCATAAACTGGAACTCATCCTTTCAAATATCTTGAGGAATAGATAAACTTTGACATGATCAGGTTTGAAAAAAGAAAAGAAAAAAGAAGAGGAAATGTGGACTCTTGTGACTGATGTTATGTCCATCAAGAAAGTTGTAATAAGAAATTAATGCTGGTATGAGCAAGTTTAGTTCATATGCACGACTTTCACCCTCCCTCCCACACGCCACATGTCAATTTATCATGAATACACAAGCGTTTCCTTTCAATAACTCAAGATGGGGCCGTGTTCATATTTTGACTCCTTTCTCGTCTTTTTGTATTGATCTCTACACTGATGCAGATCATATTTGTTTTGCTTTAGTATTTATAGGAAATTTGAACTGTAAATAAACTGAAATATGAATATTTAATACTGAAAGTTGTGTCTAGACAGTGATTACATTGGTTTTAATTTTCAATTTTACGTCTTTTTATTTTTAATTGGTTAAATAATATCTTTTAACCGTTTTTGTCTCAATGATTTCGAGTTCATGGTCTATGTTGACAGAAGGGACAGTCCGATTATTGGGAGTCCTATGTGGGTCACTGTATGAATTACCGTAAATCTCTGTGTATAAGGCGCACTTTTTTGCCGCCGAAAAAAATTTGAAAGTCGGGGGTGCGCCTTATACACAGGTACAGAAAAAAAAAGTTTTTTTTTTTATATTTTTTTTTTTTAGTTTCGATATATGGCCTGGCGCTATGCCTGGCAATGTCTCCCAGCTCAGAAATCAGTGTGTTGACTCACCATTCAGAAACTACAGCAACACTCTAAATATGTCTGTCATCTTGGTTTGAAAGTAATCTTTCTAATAGATCTCGATATGTAGTTTATACCGGTAATAATAATTCCTCAATTTTTTATTCTATTCATATCATGCAGACTATTGATGTTTGGCATAGAACACAGTGCTTCTGCTAGGTGATGTGATGAGGCTGGTGTGGGACACTTGGTATCATGAAGCCTTAGAGTCTGGACCTGTTTTTAATTTACATTGTTACTATTTATTGTCACAAGTTCACAACTTCAACTGCACCTCGATGTAAAATGAAGGTCCTTCCCCGCATGGGTTTTCGGCAACAAAATAGGGGTGCGCCTTATACACAGGTGCGCCTTATACACGGAGATTTACGGTATTTTCATATCTTGCTCTACCTGCCCTTTGCATTACAGTGTAAAAGTAGATTTCAGCTTCTTTCTTTTTTTACTATCAAAAAAAAAAAAGCAGTTTTCCAAATTTTAATTACATGTAATCATGAAAGAAGTGAAACAAAATTCAATTTTGAGACAAGAACTGGTTTTTTCCTATCTGATATTTATTTTTCTATCCAATTAGGTAGTAAACAGGGTTGCAGATTTTATGAACTCCCCCACCCCCTCTCCTACTCTTTAACTTCTTCACTTTTCCTCTTTAACACATTCTTTTGAACATAGTCAGTTTGTTGTATATTTTTCATCTGGCAAGTGAGCAAAGTGAGCAAAAATAGCAAAGGATATTAGAGAAATCATTTCAGGATTTGCTGAATTTACATTTATGTATAAATAAGGAATACAGTCTCCCAGTCAAACATGCCAAATGATCACTAGATTTAATAACAAACAAAACCTTTTCCTCAAAATAAGTCACAAAGAACAAATCTATGCCTTTCTCTCTTCTTTTATTGTTTCTGTATCTTTTTCACCATTTTAAACACTTTCTCTTCTATTACTATTTTTAACATTTGATGTTAGTTCACCTTGCAATATTTCAAGAGCTTGCTTGTTCTTATGAGTAAATGTATATGAGTATCATATAACAATATCATAACAATATTTAGTATAGAACACAGCTTACACAGTAATGCTCCCATTCACTCTAGCTATGCCCTTTTTGTAGGCTGGTTCCTTTAATTGAGACACTGTATATACAACTGCATGACACCTACATCCGTACAGGAACACACCCGACGGTGGCCTGTACTTAAAGTGAAGAAGCACCAGTTTAGCCCTAACATAGCCTTTGTTCTTGTTATTTACTTATACCATTTACTTTTGCTTCCACCACTTTAATATCTCTTAACCTAATATTTTGCAATGATGAGTACATTAAATGTGCATAATATACAAAACCAAATGCATACATAGACCAATCTTTCTGGAATGCAAACCATATAAAAGCGCAAGTTTTTCACACAGCACAAGTCATAAAAATGTATCACAAAAATATCAAGTACATGTACCTTATCATGTAGAACAAAGCTAAAGAACATAAATACATGTACATACACCAGGGGCGTACGCAGGATTTTTTGAAGGGGGGGGGGGTTTTAAAATCTGGCCCAAAATATTTTGCTCCCGAAAAATTTGAAAATCGTGCCGGCCGAAAAGTCGCTCAGTGGGGGGGGGGGGGGGGGGGGGGGTAAGCGGACACTTTTTTTTTTTTTTTGGTAGTCCAAAAAAAAAATCGCAACGACTCAGCCAACCAAAAAGTCGCTCAGTGGGGGGGGGGGGGTAAGGTCATCTATTTGAGGTCGGCCATGGGAATATTTTTTTTTTTTTTTAAATTTAAAAAAAAAAAAAAAAAAAAAAAAAAAAATCATGGATTCGGATATACATCCTTTGTGAATTACGGCAAATGGGACAGGGGTTGTGTGTCCGGACACTTGAAAACAGAAAAGCTGTCACGTTTGCTGTTGATTTTATGAAAAATAAGCATCAAATAGCACCAACCATCTTAGATATCTGTCCTATATAATAATGTCTTTAAAGATTAATGAAACATTGCATGTAAACTTCTTCAAACTCCCATTTAAAATCAATCAGTCTTGTAAACCAACCTGTCTGGACACACAAAGTGCAGGTATATCATGCGGCGGGATGTTCCATCAGTAAAACAATCTTACATACCTGGGCCTATTTCCACAAAGCTTGTAATCAATAACAAGTTACAATAACTGTTATAAGCTACTGAAATCAAGGCATTTGGTCGGCTGAGAGCAAATTTGTCATAGGATTTTTGCATTTTTTTATTGATAACAAGTTTTTATGAAACGGCGCCATGATATTTATTTGTGAGTTACATTACATTTACACTCCAACTCAGAGCTCGAGAAGTTACTTAATATTTGTATTACAGTTTTATGTCATTTACACAACTATTGCTGATGTATTGAAAAGTTGTTGTACCTAAACAAGCATACATGTATTCAAACATTTGCATTATACATTAATGTTCATGTAAATGGTGTACAAGCATACAAAGTTATCTTATCCATATAGGGTAACTAGGGTTGCATAAATACTATGTTATATTAAAATATTTATTTAAATACTGCTTTTCAATAAGAAACAATATCCAATTGATGTTTTTTTTTTCTACTTAAACATCCAAATTAATTGCCGATAATCATGAACTAAAGAAGTTTTGTTTTCCATTCTTTATAAATTTTTGACCATCAATACATGATTAATTGATACAAGTCATTATAATTTTGAACAAATGATTTGAAACCGGAAGTCGTCCATCAAAAACATAACAACTTTTTCTTATAAAACTTAAACCTTCTTGCAATATCTTTTGTACTACTTAAATTAAGTCTTCTTCTTCTTCAGTAGTATAAACCTCCATGTTGTCGGTGTACTTATCTTCATTCTTTTAAAGTTGTGGAGATATATGTACAGTGCTGTGGAACATCTAATCTATGTGCGGTTAAAAAGAACAGGCGCAATCCTAGCGCAAAGGTCAGCTTAAAAAACATTTGTTTCACAAAATAAACTTTTCAAATAAAAATTGATAAAACTGTTATAAACTGGCTGTGAGTGAAACACTATGGCCTCATCATCCTTTCATGAAATACGATTCCAGCTCAGGATATTTATAGAGATATTGCCCAAACAGCATTACACAGTGCGTCCCAGAAAAAAACGTAACCAAACGAAGACGAAGGACTTCATGCATGGCTGATCGTCAACGAAACGGAGTTAAGTCTTTTGTCAACTCTGTTTGTTGCTACGGCAGGCATCCAGTGAAAACAAATTTGTTTAATGAAATTATGGAAATGCAAGCCTTACTTTAAACAAACATTCCTGGCTCATTTTTCCTGACTGAGGTGTCGTATGAAAGGGCAGAAAATGAACTTTTTAGAAATGTGATTTTCCCTTTGAAATTCAGATACCATTCACAAAATGACTTTTTGGTACCCTCTCTAGAAATTGTTTTTAATCACTCATGCATGAAATATGCATCAAATGAAAGAGGAGAATCCAAGCTTTACAGATATGTGTCATTTATTAATTATAATTGCCATTAAGATAAATGATAAAACATAGATGATTCTCGGTTCATTTTTTTCTGGGACGCACTGTAATGTCTGCTGCAATCCAGACTGGCATTAACACTAGGATATTATACGAGTTGACACCATAATGGCTAGCAACAGAATGAACAATATTAAGGAGAAGCTACTGGATGCTCGCATGAACAATTTTTTATTCCATATGCTTGGACAATTTGGAGCCTTTCTTCTTGTAAGCTGGCCACCTGCATATGGGGCAAACATGGTTGCCGTTGTTCAGCCAGGCAACAATGCACTGCTGATGGTACGCATGGCCACATGGCAGTCCACACAACTCAGCACCATTTGTATAGGCTTCTATGCAGATGGCACACTGTGCATCGTACAGTATACCCTCCGGCCAGGAATCGGTGTGCGGAGACCTGGATTTTATCCTGGAACTAGTTTTGGGTTTCGCGTCTTTCGTGCAATTTTTTGGGGAGTGCCTTCTCGAAGCTACAATGCAGTTGACGTTCTCCCTATCTTTGCTTTCTAGTGATTTTGCACTAGCATCAGGGGTTTCTATTTCTGTTTCTGTTTCTTTTTCAGCCTGTGGACATTCTAGCTTTTCCTGACAAGTACATACCTCATGGGAAAATTTTGATTCAGCTTTCTTCATTGCTCTTTCTACAAGATCAGAACCTGCCCCCTCTAACTCTGCTTCTGACCTATTTACACCATCTTCCTTTTGAAATTTAGGTGTTGATCCCTGGAAAATACATTTTTCGTGTTCAGAATCAGATCGGGTTATAGATTCTGGCTGTGTGCAACATGGTTTTTCTTGGGGCTCAACAACAAAGAAATTATCTTCACTATCACCTCTATTTTTGCAGAAATTTTTTCTTTTCATTCTTTCTGACTCAGGGCAAAGGTCATAATCACTTCTGCATTCTTGACTACAGTTAAATAAACGCTGGTGAACCTCCCTACATTTCTTTGTATGATGCCTACACATCATAAAACCCTTTTCGGAATCGGAGGAGTCGTTACTGGATGAGGGATTCTGAAGCCACTGGCAGCTGTATCGCCAAGTCAGTAGATCCTTGATGTAGTCGTCCCGTATTAATGGATGCAACCATAGGTCTGGTACGCCCATCTGATCAATCAACAGGTCCAGCCCTTCTTCCGTGTGTCCATTGCGGGGGAGACCGTTTCGGAAAGAAGGTGAGGGCCGGAGGAGAAGACTACGGAAGTCCACCAGCGAAGCACGCAACCACATAGCACTCGTCATGCTGTCTTCATTTGTTGGAGCCTGTATCTTTTTGGCGACCCAGTTCACGGCGACGCAGTAGAGAAGAAAGGATCCGATGATGATATAAGAATGTCCGGAATACATCATCCAGTCTTGCCGAAGTTTTCCTATCAGCCATGTTTGGGAGGACAGTCTCAGCATTTTATATGAATAATCTTGGACCGATGCCAAGAAAGGCAGTTGGATGATCCCTAGCAACGGTAACCACAGCAATATGAGAGTGATGTTGTATTTGCCAATTGTCCACAGAAACCCGCATATCCTTTTGGCTATGCCTCCTTGGATGAGAAATAAACCCATGAAACAAATAGCATTCACATTGATAAAGGTTAGAACAAAGATATCATTTGCCTCTGGTGAGAGAATTTGAAGGTATAAATCGAGGGCGCTATACGTGCAATACTCGCCATTGTTTTCGCCATAAACTTTCTTTCCTTCTGGTGTGACAATGATATAGGATGGGAGCCAGTATTTCTGAGCACGGTTGTCGAGGACATAAAATGTCTTGGAGTCACTGACAAAAACAAACTTTACACGGCCCGAATACTTCAAATTGAGGGCAGAAAAGAATACCGGTGGTTCCTGGTTCCTGGAGAAAAGAACAACTTTCACTGCAACGTCACGATTAGACTCCAGTTTATCCCAGTCGTACTCTTGTCCAAATCCCCTTTCAGTATTGACTTTCTTGGCTAGCTCCAAGTAGACCCAGTTGATGATCTGCTGGGCTTTGCCTTCCGATGTAAATTTTGCCATGGTAACTTGACCTTTGTGCCTGTGACCTTGGGGCATGGCCAGGAGTAAGAGAGGCAGGTTCCAATTCTTCCGAGGACAGATGCTGCAGAAAGATAGAAATATGACAAAAATGTTGACTCAAGCTCTGTTTTACTACAAAGGTCTCCTCGTCTTTCTTTATTCTACATTGCACTGTTATGATTATACTCTATTATATTTTGTTACATGTGATTTCTGGAAGACAAATAATTTCATACTTGATACTACATCTTACCCTAAAGTTAAACTTAGCCCATTATATACTGGATAACACCAAAACCTAGAAATAAAGGTTGAATATCATATATGTCCTAAAATTAAGAAACCAGCAATCCAGAAGAAATTGTCATGATAAATGGTCAACACAACAGAAATCTCAATGGAAAAACTTAATTCTTTGATAAAGAATGTTGCATGATATCATGCACACTAAATCTCTTTCAAAGATAAACACTGACATTTGATAAATGTACTACACAAGCATGTATTTTGAACAACATCATAAGATACTCAGTCACACTGTTTTTCTTTTGGATGCGGACAGACTACACAACAATGTGTCCCCATTAAAATTGTATCCAAAAGTGACTTAAAAAGACATGGATCTACTCTAAAAGAAGAGGATCTATTTTATGTTCCATTGTATGTTTACCTTGGTTCGATAGAGCAGTCGAAAGTTCCATGTCGTATGCCAAATCTAGATAACTTTTTCACCACAGTTGACCAGGCTCTCTTTCCAAGTAGTGGTCCAAAGTTCCTTGGAATAACCTGAAATGGAAATAAAGAAATCAGTAGAGGATCAAATAAGACTTCAGTACATTATCATAACATTCCTTTTTTTTTATCTACATGATTAGAAGCACAAAAAAAAAAATGAAATTAGAGAAACAAATCAGTGAAAAATTATGAATGAAGAGTTTTGTGCCATGGACATTACAATGTTAAAAAGTATATTTGGGGGACATAGATATAACGTCTTAATATGTAAACATGTCATTATGTATGAGTGTGAAATGCAACATTCATACACTCATTTTTTTTCTGCAGGGGGTAAAAACATATATCTTTAGGGTCTATGCATGAGCCAACAGGATTTTTTTTTTTTGATGGGGGGGGGGGGGGGGGGCGGGGGGTTGTCAATTTTTATTTTTTAGAGCACTTAAAAAAAAATATTGGGCGCCTGTTATTACCTGCACAAGCCAAATACTATCTTTCTTGTCCTCCACCTCCTCTGAAAACTGGGCGTGGCTGCTGAAGGTCGTTGTGGTGGGTTCCTCCTCCTCCTCCCTCTCCGAAGCATCCTGTTCCATCATCAGGACCTCGCCTTCCATCACATGCCCTGACCACAAAGAGAAAAGGACAGCAACAATATTCAATTTTTAATGAAATTCTAGATATTACATGCATAGTTTTACTCTTGAGATGAATGAAAGATGTCTGGTTATGAATGTTAGATTTTATCGATTCAATTTTTTTTTTTTTTGGGGGGGAATTACTTTTAAATCCGATAATAAAGCTATGGAGCAAGGCATCTGCCCCTCTCCTCCCGAATCCCCCCCCCCCCCCAATCTTCTGCATCACTTTTTGTTATTGACACTTGACAGACCCATGAGATGCATACAAATATATCCTTCAATGACATGCAAATTCAGAATAGGAGCTCCATTTACTAAATCATAGCTAGAATTTTTTTTTCATAGGCCTATTATTAATCTTCAGTGAAATAAAAAGACATTTATGAATCGCTAGTCAATTTGATTTAATTGCAAGGAACCCTATAAAACTGAAGCAATGCCAGTGTAGACCGAAAGCTTCAGTCTCTCTAATCGTCGGTTGTTCCACTGAGACTACGTCTGGCTCCACTAGACCTCCGATTAACAACAAATGTCAGTTTTATTAAAGAAATGACCCAAATCAGATGGTTATTTCTGTCTATGCCAGTGGTGTTTTCCTAATCTTGATTAAACTTTATCTAGTTATTGGCAGTATATGGTTGACGAGATGCACCATAATTCTCTCTGAACACACTTAGCACTTACCAGATTCCTCCACAAGTTGCGTCAGTTCTGCTTTATCGATCACCCCTTCGTAGCTCAGCCCTCGCCCATCTAGAAGACTCTTTAACTTCTTGACGCTCAGCGAGACTGGATCGATCAACTTCATCATCAGCAAACCCGTCTGATACCAAGGAATATACTCCAACATCCGAGCCAGCAGGAATAGAAGCGTGGCATACACCAACAAAAACACTATCTTCTTCATGAACATCTTCATATTTGAACTAGATGAAAGTGATTTTCAGGGCAGAATCTCTTTTAGTCTTCAAACTCCTTGATTTGATCAAGATTATTCAATCAAATTGCATCTCTCACATTCCCCATGGCAATATGTGCATAGTTTGCACTTGTATCATTATCAGGTTTCAGGAAATATACATGTAGTTGTCAGATCAATTACCGGTAATGATTAAAATCTCTTGTTTCAGTTCTCCCCGACGACGCCCCTTCTTCTCGATTCCAATCCCAACTCCCAGATTCAATGCATCTAGCTGAGCTGCGCGCGAGCTCGACACCCTCTCCAAATAAAGGCTTACGTGGCCTTAACAATTTATGTGAAATGACCCTGCGACGCGGCACCACATCACAACACAAAGTCCATTTACGAATGACGCGACGTACTTTCAAGTTTCAGTTGGAAGATAATCCTCTTTCTCCTATTGGCTTTGTGTCTCGAATTAGCTCATTAAATGGTAGAACAGTCTCATGATAGATTATCATCTACGGTCACGTTGAGATCATTTGTTGAGAGTATTTTGGTGATCGTTGAAATGTACATCGCGTCGACTCGCAACTGATTACACGTACGATCGATGTTATGTTGTTGACAACCCGGAAGTAACTTCCCTATCTAGGAGCAAAATGTAAACACACAAAAGCGCGCGGACCTTTAAATCACATGACCAGACTTCTGATGTTGCGGATATGCGCACGACGATACTGGTTGGTGGTTAATTTACCTGACTGCTAAGAAAGCATAAATGCTTGACTTGTAAGTAAGCAACTAGACGGTCGACGGCTTTAGGTCCTCTCCGAGGGACTGTATTAATTTGATAAATCTGTTTACTAATGTTACGCGATGTTACGCATACTTTTTATAACTCAACGTTTCTCTTGACGACTGAAAACCTTGCAAGGGGCCTACCCGATATAGCAACACTAAATGTATAGAAATTGAATTCCATCCCTATTGAATTTTGCCTCTATCATTTAGGCCTACCTCCATCCCCTCTTCGATCACGGCTCCTTTGATCATCTGAAGAAAAAAAGAAAAAAATAATAACAATTTTGGGCAATTACGTCGGCAGTGGCCAAGATCGATTTTCTCTACGTTTCCTGTTTAATATGGTTCTTTTTTTTTTCAATTCAATTCAATTCAAAATTGTTTATTTTAAATCTTTGAAAACTTTCAACTTTCAACAACAATTTACAAACAAAATTAATAACACAAAATGTAATATATACCAAAACATAACATGATGTATTGAATCTGAAAAATAAATCAGTGTTAATACGAAAAATATAGCTTATTGCATCAAATGGAAACACAAATTAGAAAGAAATAAGAATTAGCATAAAGTAACATAGTCCTACTGAAATCATGTGAAAGAAAAAGGACTGAAGTAACTAGTAAGCAGTAAACAGAGCAAGTGTATCTGGTGGAAAATAGAGAGTAGAACTGAAAAATGAGGAGAAAAGTTTGCAAATACGATGTAAATTATTAAAATTGAGTGGGAGAGATTTAAAGACTGAGGAAGAGTAAAGGCTGAGAGGGGGAAAGTTATAGACAAAAAGCATATCTAGAAAGCGAAAATGAAAAAAAGGTGCATATAGGCGGATAAGGAATTAGGGAAGGGAAAAGAAGAAGAAGAAGAAGAAGAAGAAGAAGAAGAAGAAGAAGAAGAAGAAGAAGAAGAAGAAGAAGAAGAAGAAGGAGAAGAAGAAGAAGAAGAAGAAGAAGAATAAGAAGAAGAAAAAGAATATCGAGAAGAAGAAGAAAAAGAAAATGAAGAAAAAGGAGGAGGAGGAGGAGGGGGAGAAGGAGAAGCGGAGACGGAGAAGAAGAAGAAGAAGAAGAAGAAGAAGAAGAAGTAGAAGAACTTAAGGAGAAGAAGAAGAAGAAGAAGAAGAAGAAGAAGAAGATGAAGAAGAAGAAGAAGAAGAAGAAGAAAGGGAAGATAAAGATAAAATATTTAAACGAGTAAAAGAACAACAAAAAAGTGAAAATATACAACCATGCCTAAAGTGGATAAGAGATGGGGTGAAGAGGGTGATATACTAAACAATACTTCTAAATGGATGACGAGTGGCCGCTTAACAAGATAGTTATAATTCTACTGGCTTGCTATTATAGTATATGAAAAAGTCTATTCAGGCCACAACAACAGCAAAATCAATCATCACCACCTTTATCCTGAAAAATATAAGAAAACACAAACGTTATTGGAGGCCTCTATTTTTTTAAATCCAAACTAAATTGAGCACTAATTGAGTAAAGTGAAATAAAAAGATGCAACTGACTGTACTTAAATAAAATAAATTATGCATACGACATTAGATGTAATTCTTCAGTAAATGTTAAAAAAAAAAAAAAAAATGTCTACCTAACGTAAAATGCTTTGCTTCGTATCCAGGCTGTCTTCCTAATTAGTATACAAATAATGAATGGTTATGAGTTCAATAGTGCGAATATGTTCATGAGTTGAAAGATTAACATTCTATTCAACGAGGCGTCAGCCGAGTTGAATAGAATTAACGTTAATCTTTCAACGAATGAAAATATTTGCACTATTAAACGAATGAAAAACATTCATTATTTGTTTTATACAACATCGAAGAAGACCTAATAGAACGTTAATCAACAAATTATGCTTTACTCCTTATAAATTACAGTTCGAGTCAAGCCTTCTCGATTACATGCAGATTGCCTTCGCGTCAGATACACGCAGGGATACGCGCGCACACATGCAGCAGAGAGATACGCAGTCTGCATATAACCAAAAATGCACGGCGCATATAACCAAAAATGCACGACCGTGCAATATACCATCTATTGAATATCATGTGACCAACAATCGTCCAATCAAATGACAAGGATCCACGTAGGTGTTGTATAAACAATAATATACGCGGCATATCAAAGGACTAGGAGAGAGGGGAATCCCCTGACCTTGTTCGAGCTAGACACGTGTGCGCACGCACATCATCACTACACTGGTCGTATGTATTTCGATGGAAATCGTGCGCTGATAACTCGTACGAATTTGTTCATTTGGAGCATGTCTGAGATTTATCTTTTATGATTCATATTCAGTTTCCGAGTTTATATCTCTCAGTCTTCTAGTATTGAAGCAGAGCAGTTAAAGTAAGCTAAGTTTATCTGTCAACTTTCAAGAGCGACGTGCACCTGGACTGAATGAAAGCTGGTCGACCAGACTCGGGCAATTCACGACTCGATGTGTGGTGAGTGGGCAGTGCAGTGTTAGTTTTTTGGTCACTTTGGTGACAACTAGCAACTGGCGAGTCAAGCTTCAACTTCAAGGGTAAGATATTTGCAAAAATATGAATATCAATAACCACTATAAATTTCGTTAAAGATGTATGTAGATCAGTAGTAGATGTATTATTATTATATAAATGTTTGTAGTGACTACATGCATGAGGAGGCACGATAGCGCAGTCGGTAGAGCAGTGCAGACTCGTAATCTGGTGACCCGGGTTCGAAACCAAGGCCATGCGCTAGTGCCCTTTGGTAAGGTATTAATCCTCGGAGAGGACCTAAAGCCATCGGCCATCTGGTTGCTTTAATACTAAATTACAAGCATTTATGCTTTCTTAGCAGTCAGGTAAAACTCCACCACCACCACTTAATATGTATATTCCTTTTTCAATGGTTCCATTGCATTTTTTATTTGATTGACAGCCAGAAAGCTGAAGGATGGAACACAACATCATGATGCGTCTCTCAAGGTTAAATGGCCTGTTTGCTGTGAGGAAGCCAATGGGAATCACATCAGCGAAGGTAGTGGACAGAGTGAAGGCTGCATTGCTCAGAGATCTCAAGAAGGTTGAGACATCAGCAGACCTTGCAGGAGAGGAGCAGGTTTGCAGTGCTCTAGGGTAGGGTATAGCTTGAATTATTTGCCATATATGTCATGAATGATGCTTTTATAGTAGGCACGACCAGCCTAGGGAAACCTCCCTTTGTGAAAGCCATGCACCCAAATCGAAGAAGACAAAAATATGGGTAGGCCTATAGCTTAGAATGATCTAATAATATATGATAAAATAGGGTTAGGGTTAGTGTTAGGTAAATATAGTCTGAAGTATCTATAGATTATATTGCTGCTCAGGACTAGTTCTTGCATATGCAGCGTGCTGGACTGCAGACCAAAGGATCCAAGTTCAAATCCGCCCAGAAAACATGTTTTTTTAAAGTTTTAAGTTTATGTCAGTGATGTGATGTTCTGTGCAATGTCAGAGTGTTTGATTTGATGGACAGCATGCAAGAGTATGAATAGATTGAAGGAAGAATGGAAGGAGAGAAGGGAGAATGTAAGGTGGCTGTAGCAAAAGGAAATCTTTCCCCAGCCTACGTACAAAATCTATATGTGAATTCCGTCATTCAAATGAGGATGAACTATGAACTCTTTCCGTGAGCAATCAATGATTTTATTTCAGATGCTGTCTGGCGATCGTTTCTAATGTCATTTTAGGTCTGCTGCAGATCATTCATCAGCAGCGACGAATTGTAGTCTAGTTCTAATTGTGTCTACTAACTTCAGCAGAGTTCCAATGAATCCTGAAATATATGTATTCAAATTGTCTAAATGCTTAGATTATGCTTTAGTCTAGTGTTCCAAGTTTGGTTATTTACATCTATGTATTTAATTAAAGCAATTTACTTAAAGGCCCACTGTACTACTTGTAGCTACTTGCTCCCTCTATATAGGAAACAAATCAAACAATGCGTAATCAGTGACCATTGGTCCCCCATGATCCTCTTTTTCTTATGTTAATTGAGAGCTGAGTTGATGAGATAGCCACCTGTCAGTGACCTTCCTGGGTGGTCTAATCCCTCCTAGCCAAACTAGTACAGATGGGCTTTAAGATTATAATTTATAATTTACTTTCCTCAACCAGGTGTTCAGACAAACAAAGAGTCGATGGTCAAAGATGGATTAAGCTCCCCAAGATGGGTCATGGAGGAACTCTAGATATGAACGCTACAGGGGTACTTGTGATTGGATGCGGGAGAGGAACCAAGTTACTCTCATCTTACCTTCAAGGAGGGAAGGTAAATCTTTTTTTTTACCTCCCTCTTAGTTCTTACATACTTGTAAGTGCCTTTGTAAGACACTTCTTTTTCAGAAAACATGCTGCAGCTACAATTGCTCCATGGACAATGGACAATATCCATGTAGGTTCTTGTACTTAATATCATTTCTATCATCAGTTTAATGTTGTTATTATCATTATTATCATTATTATTTTTAATAACTTTTTTTTTCTTCTTATCTGTCTGTAAATATTACTATTTTTAACTTATTAATTTTGTATATGTCTGTCAGGGACCCCACTGGAAATAAGCTCTTGAGCTTTCGTGGGTTATCCTGTTCAAGCTGACTTAATTTTGATCTGTTGGAAGCTTGGCGAATAAAAATTATCAATCAATCAATCAACAGAAAACACGATGGCAACCCTACCTCATATCTTACTAAAGTAAAGCCATGAGCATTTGTCATGAAAGCAATGAGGAGCACCAAATAACAGGATCTCTTCTAAAACCCTAAAGTTTTATTTTATTTTATAGTAGCAGTGGAAAAAAGGGAATGAAATTGTGCCAGGTATTCTTATGATTTTGACCTATGAAAGTCACATTAACTTTGCAGTGTGTGAGTTCCACTAGCACTTCCTAGGCGACATCATCATGGCATGTGCTAGTCTAGTACATTTTCAAGTACATTGCAACAAATTTGCAGTTTCATGTGTGCAATTGGAGAAGGTTTACTTGAAAGTAACAACAAAAACATCCAAACAAAAATGAAAAAGTCAGTGATTTATAATAAATTGAGGTACCGGTATATTGATTGTGTCTGTTAAAGGTCTCATGGCAAGTGCTAATCTAGTACATTTTCGTTTGTGTGCAATTGGAGAAGGTTTACTTGAAAAGAAAAAGAAAAAAATCTAAACAAATGAAAAAAAGTAAGTGATTTATAATAAATTGTGGAATTGATTGTGTCTATTAAAGGTTTATAGGGCCCAGGGAAGATTAGGAAGAGCAACAGACACGATGGATGCATCTGGAAAAGAAGTAGAAACAGCACAATTTGGTGAGTGAACTTGGCTTTTTTGTGTGATGTGTAAACAATAGTACAGCTCTTTTGGGGGCATGGGAAAAATAAGAGGGGTGGGGTGGGGGAGGGGGATGTTTTTAGGCAAATCTACTCTGGCATATATAAATTACACTTCCGAGTATGAAAAGGAAATGTGAAAAGGGAAAAGACATGGGAAAAGTGAGAGGGGTGGGAGGGGGGATGTTCCCACAGCAAATTTACACTGGCATTTATGAATTACACTCAGAGTATGAAAAGGAAATGTGACCATCATTTTCACATTTCTGGATTGCAATTAGTGTAGGACTTCCAATAATAAAGTAAAATGTAAGAACATTATTGCATACAACTGTTGTTATTCTAAAAAGTTCTTCATGTATCTTTTAATGTAACAAATGATATAATTTGTGTTTAATCCAATACAGATCATGTTACTGACTCTTTATTGGAGAGGTGCCTGGAAAGCTTTGTTGGTGATATTTTTCAAGTTCCCCCTGTGTGAGTAAAACAAGATATATGATTTCCTGCTTCAATCTGAACCTAATGATGTTTCAATGCTACTAGTACTATGTAGACATAGATCTGTTTCTAATTACATTCCCTTTAATAATACTGTTAGCTTCTTTTAAAAACTGTGTTTATTCCATGGAGTTAGATAGTTGAGATAGTAATTTGATGTGATCTTTTCTTCAAACCATTTGACCGTATAAATTTTATTTGTCAGTAATAATGACACAAACAAATCCTGACATGATTTCTTTTTATATAAAATAGCAAGAATCTAGGAGTTTCATTGTATATAAAACAAATGATACACGTTTTCATTCCTTTATTGCAGGATCCATCCACTCTTGTTGAGTCTCTTTATGCAACCATCGAACAAAGCCATCATGCACTGTACAATAGGTGCATACAGCCTCAACTCGAGTGTAGATAGATCGCATAATGAACTCATCACCGTGCATCATTTGTATAGTATTGCATTGTATAGTACTCTATTGTATTTTCGCCCTAAGGGAAACTAATTGTACCTAAACATACAATGACAGGTATTCAGCCCTGAAGGTGGATGGGGAGCGCATGTCTGACCTAGCAGCAAGAGGAGAGGATGTACAACCTAAACCGGCAAGGCCAGTCAAAGTCTACAGTTTACACTGCCAAGGATTTCAACCGCCAGATTTTGATATCAGTAAGTTTTAAATATTGCACACTTCTCATGTATTTATCTCTTTTGTTTGTGGGAAGTGGGGGTTGGGTGTATAATGTACTCTCAAGTGTGCAGAAGAAGTATTTCAATTGATCATTAGGCGAGAGGGTGTGTGAGAAGAGTGAGAGTGGAAGAGAAAGAGATACAGAGAGAGAGGGGAGGGGGGAAGAAGAAAGGAGGGGGAAGCACCACACAGACCCCCTGGAGGGCAAGAGAGAGAATGAAAGAGAGAGAGAAAGAAAGAGGGGGATGAGAGAGGAATAGAGCAAGTGATTTAAAGGACAAAGCTGAGCAAGATCAAGAGACATAGGGAAGGGTAGGTAGGGGGTGGGGAGAGAGAGAGAGAGAGAGAGAGAGAGAGAGAGAGAGCACATTTAATAGAATCGTTATTATATTTTCATTATTCTATTTACCTTGTGTACTGTACAATTTATTTATTTTAACAAGTTTATGTATCAAACCAGCTATTTGTTGCTATAATTATTTCCATGTATATCACATGTCTTCCATATCTTTCCTTTGCTAATTCTGAATAGAAGTCCACTGTGGAGGAGGGTTCTATGTCAGAAAACTGATCCATGATGTAGGTAAAAGTAAGTACACATATTTGTTGTTTTTAAAAAAAAGAATGAATGTTACTCTTTACATTTTATCATGCTGCCTCAGTCTTAATACTGAGAAAAATTGCATGTTTGAGGTCTGAAGAAAGACTGTTTGTTGTTGCATTATTGCCATTACTTTCTGAAGTAGACATGGATCTTTTGAGAGAAGAAGAAAAAGGAGAAGAAGAAGAAGAAGAAAATAATGAAGAAGAAGAAAATAATGGAGAAGAAGAAAATGAAGAAGAAAAAGAAGACGATAAAGAGGAGATGAAAAGAGGTTAAATCAGAGTCTGCCTGTGGATATTAAATTATATAAAATGGCCATCTTCACCCGAGGCACTAATGGGTAATTCACCTAGCTCAAATTTTTACATGCAATGGCTAAATTTGTTGATGTTAATACTGTAATAAATTATGGAGAAGGTTTTTTGTGTAGTGATGGGGGCTTGTAAGTTGTACAAAAATAGACTCACAAAAGTGTATTGTTCATAGTTTTTGCTGTAGTGAAGATCTTTGTTTTGTTTTGGGTAGAACAAATTTGATTCAACTTCTAGGATGTGTACCTATATTTCCTTCAGGTCTTGGAACTTGTGCCTTCATGACGGGGCTCTGTCGGACAGAGCAGGGCTACTTCAAGCTGGACCAGCATGCATTGCCAGAAGAGAAATGGACTTTGAAGGATATAACAAGGGCACTTGAGGAATTCCATAGCAACATGGATACAGGCGTTAGGTGACCAAGACCAGGGACCTACTGACAGCTCTAATATGGCTTGAAGAGCAAAATCCCTTTCCAAGATGGCCAATCTATTCACGACAATAAACTAGAATGAATAGGTGTCATCACATAAACAAGAGGAACACCTTATCACTCCTGCTCTGTCTTGTGTCAATCCAACTGTGGACCAAGGTGCTCAATGCAGGATTTAGGACCTACTCTCTCTCTCTCTAAGTGCCATATCGATCGACTTTGAGGATAATGCTGTTCCACAACCCTCGGTTCCTAGCCTTCTCTATTAGCACCACTCCCAGCTCTTTCACTCTCTCTTTCAATAACTTCTGCAGACTGTCCATCCAAAGTATCCTCCTTCCCACAATTTTCCCTGTCAAAGCAAGATTCTCTAGGTCTTCTTTACGTGTAATGTGACCCGTGAACTTCAACTGCGTAATCAACATCTCACATATCATTTTTCTACTGCAGGTTCTAATTTGTACTACAGTTTAAAGGACTTTCCACTATTAAAGTGTTTGACTGATCAAGTATTTATGAGAAACTGGAATGCAGAGTGTTCATGACATGAAACAAGTGAACAAATTGCACTATTAAATTTGTGCCATAATGTATAGTGTCATAAATAGATGTCCTGTGCAGCAGACCTCATTTTATATCGGAAGTAAACAACCACCTGGATACCAAGTTAGTTTCAATATATGTAAAAGCAGAAGATGTGAGGAAGAGATCGATGGCAGCCTTGGGAGAATTATATTAAGGATAAGAGGAAAACGAGATGTAGGAAAGGAGAGTAGAAAGTTATGAATTCAATCAAAAGCAAAATGGCAACTGTGTATTGGCTCTTTAAGAAGTTGACACTTGCCTCTATATTCAGGCTACATTGTATCAATGTATAAATCATCAAGTGTTACACATTTTTGTAATAAAACATCTCTATAGTTAAAAATCAAATGCTTCTTATATTTGATGTTGGTTTGTTTGTAGTATATATAGAGTAGAATAGGATTCCGATCCCTTAATCCTGATCAACAATACATACAGTGGAGCCTCGATAGACAGAACACCATACAATAAAGTCACTGTAACTTGGTAATTTTGCCACTCTCGCCCCTTACGTTTCCTTGTTATCGGGTCCTGAGTAACTCCCGAGACACTGTACATGTTAAAGTTGCTCAAGCGTGGGTATATAGAGGGCAGCACATGGATGTATGCACGGGAGCATAATACTCATTGGCTCAGTGTTATGTAGTGATCGCCAAGTTACCTGCTTCACGAACGGCTATATACCCATGCATGAACATCTTTGAACAAGGTTTCAGAATAAAATGTTTCCTTTGATTCTCTCTCTCAGAAATTGTTAGAATATGCTTTGTCCAAAGGAATTCTTTAATGTCGGGGTTCCACTGTACTTTCCTACAAATTAATATACAATAAAATTAAAAGCACATCATTTTGGTTTATATTTACATATTTTACACCTTTTAATGAACAAAGAATTTAAAAGAATTATAATACACAATGTTTCTGTTGATATTATACATCATTTAGAAAGAAAAAAATTAAGCTGTCATATGTACATGTACATAGTAGAGACTTATAGATTTAATACTAGACCATAATATGCTTCACTGAGACTTTGTCTAGCTCTGGTGAATCAAATGAAAAAAACAATTGATACGATTTAAAAACTTTTTTACCAGACAATATTGGAGTACGTAAAATATCTACCTATTCCACTAGCAAATGCAATCTTTGAGTTATGACAGAGCACCAATTAGACTTTCAATACAGCAATAAAGAGAGATTTTAGATCTTGTGTACTCAACTTGGCCCAGGTTTAGGACGTACTGGTTAGGTAAGAAAGTCATGATCTACCAAATTTCTTAATTGTGGGACATGTGAGATAACTATAAAAAAATATTTTTAAAAATAAAGAAAGATGGGACAATATTTTTCGCAGCAAGACAATTTGGAACAGTGAAACCTCATTACAAGGAACAGCGATATATCAAACTTTAGAGATAATAATATAACAGTCTAAGATATTGGTTAAAAGGCTCTACTAAAAGATAGTTTCCATATACAGGTATAAGGTAACTTCCTTGTCTCAAGGAAATAGTTACAAGTCAAGTCCAAGATATTTGGTCACTGTAATTCTAGTAATTCTAACTGCTGCCTCTTTAAAAGATTTAAGAACATGCCACAAAAATGAAATCATTATCTTCCTTGATATTTGAAAGATTAAACTTCGCATCAATGTCATTCTCCAAAAAAACCTTTTTCACTGACGTTTGCCTGAAATGAGTCCATGAATCCTTTGTATAGCAGTACAAAGAAACCAAAAAGTCTTCTGATATCTGAGAATGTCTTCTTAAATCGGAGGAGGTAGGGCCTTTACTAGAGTGAGACATTCCTTGTAGCTATCTTCGTAGTCTGCATGCTTCTTCACCAGAATGCAGCATGTCGCCCTCTTTGCCCCGCTTGAAGCTCCCAAGTCCTGCAGAAGGTAAAGCACAGCGATTTCAGATGACCATTAGAATCGCATGCCCAAGGGGGTGTTTCACAAAACTTGTCATCAGTGACAAATGACAGTTTCTGTTACAAGCTACCGAAATCCTTGCTTCTGATTGGTTATCAGCAGATTTGTCACTGATATTTGTCATTTGTCATTGAAAAAGGGCTTTGTGAAACGGGTCCCAGGAACATAGGACTTCAGAATCTTATCACAGATGACTCGAGAGCAATAGACCATTTTTGTAATGTAACCAAATTTAATGTATATGTCTTTGTGAAGTGCCTCAATACAAATATAGTGAGGCACTTCCAAAAGACGTATGCACTAGATTTGGTAACACCACAAAATTGGTCTATTGTAAACTGAACATGCATGAATATACTTTATCTAAAAATGGATTAAATGCCAACTGAAATATCTTGAGCTTTGTGGGAAGGGTCATATGATACAGTCAAACTCGCATAAGTCGACCTTGATAGGACCGAGTGAAATGCTTTGACCGTCTACTGAGAGCTGGAAGGGCAATAACTCTAGGTAAAAGTATAGGACGTAACATCCTTCTGGCTCTAAGCATATTTTTATCTCAGCAGTCCACCCATTATTTTGCTTTAAAGCCTGTCTGTACTAGTTTGGCCAGGAGGGATTAGACCACCCAGCGTGGTCACTGACAGGTGGCATCTAATCAACTCAGCTCTCAATTAACATAAGAAAAAGAGGATCATGGGGGACCAACGAGCACGGCTTAGGCATTGTTTTCTATATAGAGGGAGCAAGTAGCTACAAGTAGTACAGTGGGGCTTTAATACTCACTGGCCTCAAGTTCTTTCTACCAGTAAATATGAAAAAGATTAAGGTAACTGTCTAAAGCCCGTAATAGCCTAGCCTTATTGCTATCATATACATTTGTGTGGGAATCGTTAACGTCTCCCATAAAAGAAAACCGAAAGACGGCATACAACTGATATCAAAGCTAATTCTCAGATTTGGCAATGGACTTGCATTTTGACAGAAACTCTCTTGAAACAAGTTCCAAATTGTTTGAAATAGAGGAGTCTTTTTGCTCATAAACACAGCTCTTCATGAGAGAAGCAGATACTTACAGATTTTGAAGGAACGTAGGCATAGGGCAGATCAAGGTCTTCGCATACACCAGGCAGATGGCACATGACTTCAATGGGCGTTACATCTCCAGCAAACACCACAAACCTGAGAGGGAGAGGGAGAGAGAGAGAGAGAGAGAGAGAAAGAGAGAGAGAGAGAGAGAGAGAGAGAACCTCATCAGATAGGCAATTAGGTAAGAAAGTAATTTTGCACATTTGATTTGCGAGTCTAGACCTACATGTACACGTATGTATATCTTGTATGGATTCAAGTAGGCCTATGTTTTTTTGTTTCATTTACTAAAATGTAATATACAGTTCCAATAATAGTTTCAATCATATGGGCAGCTTTGTAAAAGGACAATTTCAGCATAACGAACATGAGATCAGAACATTTTTTTGAGGTTATTTAAGACAGTTTTAAACACAATTAAAAGTCATAAAGCATATATCTATCAGTGAACACAACATATTTGACTATCAGTAACATAGGCCTACATAGCAAATTTCACAGTATTCCACTAAGGTCAAATAAACAAAATAACATGTTTAGCGTCCTGTTTTTTCGAAAAATAGGGAGGAGGCCCTTTTCTTTTCTTTTTTTCTCTTTCAAAATGGCTACTCAAAATTGCCGCTCGGTACATTTTCCCTCACAGTCGGTCTATTTTTCAAGATGGCCGCCGACATTTTTTTTTTAATTATTTTTTTTAAAATCAGAAATAGATCAATTTTAGCAGTGTTTTTCATGTTTTTTCAAAATTTCAACAACAAAAAAAAGGCGGCCCCCATAAAGGAAGCGGGCAGGGACGCTAAACATGCTTATTTTTTTACATGGCCTAAAACTAGAAGTTTTGGGGGCTAAGGGTAAAAAAAAAAAAACTTCTGCAAAGAAATTCTTCTTCTACTGCTTTTGGTAGTTCTCTGTCCTTTAATTCTGAATATAATTGTTATACATGTAGTCTAGGTGAAATGCTGAGTAAGTTGTGTTTGTACTAGTACAGTTAGTACATGTCAAGCTTCACATCAAGATAAGATTTTAATGAAATAAAATGAAAGATAAAGAGGAAGCTTTACCCTTTTTCTCCTTTGCGAAGAAACTTTTGAACTTCTTTTACACCACGTCGGACCATCTTTTCTTTACTAGCTGTGAAGAAAAACATAATCATCAGATAAACAGGTTAGCAAAAAATTATAAGTCAAGTCGAATGTAGATAATTAATAGCCTCATTTAGTCCTCCAATACGATTTCTAATTACCAGTTTAAAAATCTAAAAACAAAACACAAATAAGGTTGAACTTTATGGCCAGAATTCACTAATGAGGTTTGTCTTGAAACGCATCAAAACGCATCACATGACGCACATAAACCTAGCCTTAAGGGCTCCCTCAAAATGTTTTTTATGATATTATTCGAGGGAGCCTTAATTTGCTCCCATAGGGTCCCACGGAGAGGTAGGTAAACAACATCAAAAATGTGTCCAAAATCACACTTTCCCGCACCCGACCAATATTGGACAGTGGCTTTGATAAATTGTGTGGGACTTGTGATCGTAACTACACCCAGAATATCATAATCAGAGGTAAAAATTAAAAGCAATTTTCTTACCAGACCGATACAGCTCAGCTCCCTTTTCACGTGTACCGTGTGAATCCACGATCTCTACACAATGGTGATGACCTCTGACTGGCACTTCCGTGATTGTGCTGCTTCCGTATAATGCGCTGTATGAGTGTTATTCAGCGCATTATACGGAAGCAGCACATTTACGAAGTGCCAGTCAGAGGTCATCACCATTGTGTAGAGATCGTGGATTCACACGGTACACGTGAAAAGGGAGCTGAGCTGTATCGGTCTGGTAAGAAAATTGCTTTTAATTTTTACCTCTGATTATGATATTCTGGGTGTAGTTACGATCACAAGTCCCACACAATTTATCAAAGCCACTGTCCAATATTGGTCGGGTGCGGGAAAGTGTGATTTTGGACACATTTTTGATGTTGTTTACCTACCTCTCCGTGGGACCCTATGGGAGCAAATTAAGGCTCCCTCGAATAATATCATAAAAAACATTTTGAGGGAGCCCTTAAGTAGGCACATTCATGGGGCACTAGAGGGCGCTTTGCGCGCGTACGAAAATCTGAATGGCCTTGCTGCGGTGGGTCGGAAATAATCAGCCCAAAACTTGGATATGGGAGGGTGGAAGGATATATCTTTTTTATAATGTTATCTGGTCTTACCCTTAACCATCCTATGTTTAATCTATGTAGAAATAACATGCGAGTACGATATGAGAAACATCGGGCCCATTACTGATGCAACTTTTAAAATATTAGCCTAGAAATGACCACCAAACGGAAAAAATTGACATTTTTTCCCGACAAATCTTCATAAAATCTGATTTATAAACAAGTCACATCTAGGTACACTAATACAAATATGATTTTCTGAAAATTCAGGTATTATTTTTTAAGTTTCTTTCAAGTATATTTCTGCGCATTGCAGCGCCAATGTTCTTCACTGCTTCAAAATCACCCTTGAAAATTTTTTTTTGCAACAAATTTGTTACGAGGTCCGCGAGTGTTCCCCGTTCCTTGCGTGTTGAAAGTTTGGTAATACATAGTTTACATTGACTCGCGCACGAAAAAATGGTCGAAAACAAAATGTCAAATGAAGAAATAAACAAGCTTTTGTATAGTTATAAGAGTTCTATCGAGGTTTCTTTGTCGATTTAATTTATAATATAGTCTCAATTAGAATTTAGAATTATCTCACTAAAAAGTTAAGAAACCGACGATGTTCTCGATCGTAGTTATTTTCATTTTGGCAGCAGCCGATCTAGCGTTGTTTGGGCAAAAAGCTAGGCCGCTGTCTTCCCATCGCAAACCTTTCCGAGTCCCGCTAAAATGGCGCGCTGCGGAGCTCTGAAGCTGCGTTGGTATCGCTGCAAACTCTCTGCCGGCTAGCTCCCCACGACGGACCATTCGCGGTATGGCGAGAGTGTGTGTGTGAGGTACGATTTTGGATTCGAGAACGCACGTAGTGCAACCGTGCGCGTCATATTCAGCTGTCGAAAGTCTACGACCAATTTTACATGTACGATTTTTAGTACAGATACTTGGTCAGTTTTCTTCTTATATCTTTGGTTTTACAACATTTAAAAATATAATTTCTTCAAATTTGCTCCTGACTCGGTTCAGACTAATTGTGTGATGTGTTTTCAAGTCAATTTTTTGAATATATTTTTTTGCATGAATTTGCCCAACACTGCACTGCACTTCTGGCAAACCCAAAATAATAAAATTAAACGTCCATAAGATTAAGAGAAGATTTCACATCCGGACTGTAAATTTAGATATAAACAGGATTCGATGTGGGTTGTTATTTTTTAGTTGTTGTCAACTAAAAATGTGTACCATTGACATCGATTACTTTTGCACAGAATAACACACGTCCATTTGAATGAATGGGACTACATATCACCTTTTTTGATGACTTTGTACAACTTTTTCGTTAGTTTCCTTGAAGCTAGAGGATTGGCTATGGGAGAAATTCGCGTAACAAGTTCATCATATGATAGTTCCTGTGTTTCAGCTTCCTCAGCGTGGTCGATCCCGTTCTTTACTGCTGGTGACTTCATGCTTGTGCTTTTTAATTCTAGTGTCGTCTCGTCCACGTGTTCAACAGCTGCGTATTAAGCTATGTGTGTAGTGCAGTGGCCACGCCAGGCATAAAGCTCGAGTAGTACGGCCCGAGCAGTTAGCTATGCCAGCGCAAGCGGCGTGGTTAGTTCAGAGATTTCGCTCCATTGAACGAGACCCATCGATGCCTCATAACTGCGGTGCATCGATTACTGTAGAAGTATACTAGTCGCATGCATTCTCGTTTCATCCATCATATGTTCCCTTTTTATGTATAAGAATGAAAAAAATTGAAAAAATCTTGAAGGAGAGATTGATAATATTCTATTATATTTTTTTAATTAACTAGAATTCGATCATAGCCTTGATAAAACTAAGATCTAAGACTGCCGTTCAAATTGGCATCATCAATTAGCATCATTATTGCAGTGGCTACAATCATGGCGGATGAACAGAAAGAACTCGACACGCCTGGGAGCGATGGGTTTTCAGCTCAGAATCAGCAAAATGACGACTCCAGCATAGGAAACGATGGAGGAGAAAATGCAGAAACATCTCCAGGGTCATATAGATCGAGGTTCGTATATGATTTAAACTTCGAACTTGTAGTATTTAATCAATTTATACAGCTGAGTGAGTGACATTGAACATAAAAAATGCACGCGACGCGAACGCGCACTAACCGTCAGCGCAACGTTCCAGCCGCTCCCAGCATATTACACGTCCACGTTCATATGCCCATTCCCCAGCCATAAAAATAGATTCACGTAAAATAGCTAGCCTAGACCTCTACATAATTATCACACATGATATGATCATGCACTATCGCCTGATGTAGATCATGCTGTGTAATCAGTAGGGGCGCTGGTCCGAGAATGAGGATATCCTCATGAACACGGACAAAATGCGTCCTAATATTTAAATAGACCCTAGATCTAAGGATTAAAAAAATTAAGGATCGTCTGCATTTTGGCCGACACTTTTTTTCCATCGGCGCTCTGCGGGTTTCCAAACCGCCCGCTGGCAATGCAAAAAAAGGGATTCATCGTAAGAAAATAACCCTTGTTTACTTAATAATTAGGCCTGATAATTTCCTGATTATTTTTTTCCCAATTTTTTTTATTTTTTTTATTTTTTTTTACACAATCTTTTTTTCTTCCCCACTGATTTTTCCCTCATTTTCCCAACTTTTTCCCAATTGTTTTACTTAAAAGGTGGGGAATGTTGTTAGATGCCATTTTGTTTCTGCAAATCCCTTTTCTTTCTTTTTTTCTTTTTTTTACTTGGCGGGGGCCAGGGGATGGTTGAGGAAAAAATACCCTTTTTTTTTTAAATTGCTCACTATCACTCCTGGGGTTGTCCATCTTCCCGAGGATTTATCGCTCAAGATGTGAAAGTCTCTGTACAGAGTCAATGTAAAATGCATCAAGAAAATCATTGCAGATTCTTTTTTTCGCATCTTATTCATATTGAATATGTAATTTGTAAATAAAGTTGCTTCATTTTTTGTTTGAAAATTTCTTTTTCATTGCTTGTGCCTTTTTTTGTCATTTTTTGTCATTTTTTGTCATTTGGTTGTGTTTACTAAGTTAGTGAATTCCTAACTTGCCTGAGCTCCAGAGCCTGCATAGGAATATTGTACTTTTTTGTAATAATGTTATGTAACTATCCGTAGAGGTGTAAATTTTCTTATCTCATTTTTGACTAGAGTAAGACAGGTTATTTACCGATGCCAAACATCAGGAGCCTAAATTCTCTTTGTATGAGTGTGTCCTTGGAAAAAGTATGAATTAAACAAAATATTGTCAAAAGATCAGCAATGTGTTTGTTTGTTTTTTTGCATGATTATTTTTTTGTTTGCTTTTTCTTTAAAGAGACGAGAATGAAAATGTTAATTTCACAGTAAGATGCCCTTGAAACTTTAAATCTAAGTAAATCCTGCTTTTTTGCACCATCTTTTTCCCTTATTGATGCAACGATCTAACATGTGATGGGATTTTTTCTCTCCATAAATTAACTACAAACTCATTTTGCAATATTCACACTTGTTTTTATGATCTTTTTCCATCTTTGTGTGTGACTTGTGATCTGACATTGGACTGTAAGATCATATGAGAAACCAGGCTTGGATTTGGCCTTTGTTTTCTTGAAAGTTTTCCTTATCAGAGTACATGTACATGTACATTAGGTATGTCCTAAAGGGTTTGTCATCTATCTACACGTTTGAGGTAATTTTGTTCAAAAATTCAAGCACCGACGTACCTTCAGAAACATGTTCATATTTGGGACAGAGTGTCAACCATGAAGACAAAGGAACTGGGTGTGATTCAGCACAGCTTCATGTGGCTCATCTTCTCATTCTGCACAGCTGGTGAGGACTCATATAGACAAGGCTCTGAGTACAATAACTATAATAACGTGTAACATATGCTCAAGCTACATGTAGATTTAAAGCTGAAAGAAATGATTAACGATGAGAGACGTTAGTGACCAATTCCAACCATCATTTTCTTGCTCTGCAGAGATGACGGAAGTGAGATGGAAGCTTCAAGCGGGCCATCTACACCACCACCAACCTTTGTGCGTCTAGCACCAATTTTAACACCTAGCGAAGCCATTGGGACCGGCGGGTCATCATCCAGTTCACAGTCGGTAACAGAAGGAACCGACCAATCAATATTGTTTGAACAGTCAGCTGAAGGTACGTCTGGTTCGGGGCATATGGATTACAAGTTTGTCGATGGCAAATACGTTCAGTACACACCTACGGGACAAGAGGGCGATGGAAGCCCACAGTTGATGGATTTCAACGGAAAGTCATCCAGTGTCACCTCAGTAGATGGCGGCCAGGGGTTCATATGTAAAGTGTGTGGTGCTTGGTATAAGCTTCGCCAGTCGCTGAACTCGCACATACAAGACCAACATCAAGGCAAGCGATTCAAGTGCTCCAAGTGTCCCTACAGCACAAACAGACGCCATGATCTCTATCGTCATGACGGGCAGGTACACAGGGGTACCGCCAAGCAAACCGTCCCTCTGGTGTCTCCGATAGCCAAACTCACAGGGAAAGCCAACACCGTAGCAGCAGCTCTGAAGAAGCGTGACGAGAGGAGAATACTGAAGAAGCCACTGACCATTAGCTCACCCAGCTTTACCCCGGCCACCATAAGCCCAGCTAGCTTGAGTGCTGCCAATCCGACATCGGTCAACTTGAGCTCTCCCACAATTAGCTTAGAAAACAAGTCCGTCAAGCAACTGCTCAATCTAGGAGAAGGTGCTAACTCCCAGCAGTTGGTCGTGGTCAGTGACGGGATGCAGGGGGCTGTGTATTCCGAACCCCCGTCTCCTCAGCAGAATGAGAACAGATCGGGATGGCTGGAAGAGAATTCAAGCAACAACAGCAGCAGCGGCAGCAAGCCGCACAGGCAGACGGAATCCTTTGAGCACCAGCTACCAAGCGGTGCCATCTTCAGACGCATCACAGAAATCACATTCTTCCCTGATGGACGCATTCGAGAGACTCGTACAGAGGAATATGAGATGCCATGATTTCATAGAGAAATCAGTTTCACTCTAATTTACTGTTTGGTAAAATGCAGGCTTTTAATGTGTGAACTTGTAAATGCCTTTTCGGCAATGTGGGATTAAATTTTGTTTCTAAATTGTTGTTTAATGAAATTAAAGTCCCAAATTGATTTTGTATTCAAGTAATACTAGTATTTTCCTTTTGCCATCCACGATGTTCAAAATGGCTGACTAACTTCAAAGAACATTTGCAGAACATTGTGATGGTTCAAAATTTAGATAGTTATAAAAAGAATGTTGCATATACAATCATGTTATTATTTTTTCACCTGATGGCTGAGGATGAACATGTACATCTAAGTAGACAAACTTTGCAAAATACTTTTTTTCTGAAAGAGCTGTGGGTTGTGTTGACTTTCTGAATGCAAGTAACTATTTATAACAACAAGTATGATGAACTTATTTATGAGAGCTTAATCATGATCAATAAATTTTATGTATTTTCATAAGTTAAAGGGATTGTTTAACAATGTTAAATCTGAGATATACGGTCCTACATGTTACCAGTGTCTGTGATATGGTGTAATATTGAAGCCCTAAAAAAATCGTGCTTCAAATGATCGAGAAGTGCCTCAAAAAAAAAAAAAATCTTTGAGTGACAGGTTTTACCATACTCGTTTTCCCCAATAGACTGTAGTGTTATGAAAACCGTTCAGTGAACGGTTTTCAAAATTGGTAATTCCAATCATTAATATCTTGATAATCAGACAGGCGATCGGCTTGTAAAAGTCATGGAGTTCCTGACTGACCTACAGTGTAAAGGTTTATAATTATTATATTGCAGCATGAGCTAAATCAAGGATTATTTCTAAAGGATCCAAGACAAAGTTACCGGATCCCTTTAATGTTAGAATTAAATATGACTACAGTCAGTACAGTGTACTTCAAAATTCCAATACATGATTTTGCAAAGGTTGAATTGATCAAAATTTGTTAAAATCTGAAGTAAGATGATGGGATATACATGTACATGTAAGTTCTAGAGCATAGTTTAGTTAAAGGTACTATGTCCCATGTGCAGGCCAAAAAAATGAAAAAGTAAAATTCCAACTGCATTTGAAAGATAATACTAATTTCGAACTTCCCTATAAAAAGGTGGGGCTTGAAAACGTCTTACAAGTGGGAAAATAATGACTATTAGTTGTCAAATCGACTTTAGGGCTATAGAGCCCAAAAGTAATAGTCTTGATTTTCAGACGATTGTACCGAATGGTCATACGTTTTATTCTGCGCAAAGATTCAATCAGTTTCATCTTGGCCATCACAAGAAGTGGGTTATTGATGTAGACAAATGCTCATGTACCCTTTACAACTCTTTTCATGTATGTTATTACCATAGAAGAAAAAAAGCCAGTCAGTTACTCAATAGTGTCTGACAGTGAAGTCTAGCAAGTAAACGGGTTTCCTTGCATAATTTGAATATGAGGACACTGCTAACGTTTAAATTTCACAGATAGGACATACATGACATATTCATAATTCCTGCAAAGTTCTACAGCATTTGAGGTTGGCTGCAAAAGGGACATAGTACCTTTAAGTTGTTGTTTTTTTTTTTTTGGGGGGGGGGGTAAAAAACTACCAAGTTGTATATAACGCATCTTGTTGCCAGAATCACAAAAAGTCGATCTCCCTATTCCTATTTACAGAATGTACCTTAAATTTCTTGTAGACAATTTTTACATTACTAGTGGTCAAACAACGTATGCCACCTTGTAATTTACACAGCACATTATATTTTTATACATGTATGACACAGTCTATAAGTATTAGAGTCATTGAATCATGATTTATAAAACTATGAAAAGTTTATAAAGAATGAAAATATTATATATGTGAATTTTCATCTAATTATAACTTATTGTATAACTTATGCACCTGCATTATTTTGTTCTTATGATATCAAAGGTAAAAAATGAATCATGTATACCTGCTGTTCAGATTTGCATTTAATAAATATTCTAGTTTTTGTTGTGAATGTAATTTATTGTACATATCGGGTTACCGGGTAAACGTACATGTAGTATTGAGGTGAAAAAGTAATGGCCAAACTCACCGCAAAAGTAAGTAATTGTATCACTTTTTTCTTCTTTTTACATTATATGTTTATTTCATTTCATTTTTTTGTGCCGATTTTGTTTCCATAGTTTAAAACAAAAAAGCTTTGTATAATATTCCCAAGAAAAACATGCCTTGTATGAAATTCAAAGTGAATTCCAAATAAAGTCTATCGTGTACTCAAGGAAAGAAATACTTGTCTTTATTCTTCATTACTGGTAGCTATTTCGCATTTCATAAGCAGGGTGGTCTACAAACAAAGATCGACTTTAATTTGGACTTAACTATGCCAGCATTTGCTTACTGCCACTGCTTGCTTTCACTATTGGGATCTTCAGATTTTATATTTTTTCTTTCAATAATGAATTATCCAAAAATGTAATTTCTGTAGATTTGTGACCATGATTTGTACATCCCTTGAGAGACAAATGCCAGTAAATGGTGAGAGCAAACAGTGGCCTGCCATATTTAAGTCCAACTTTAAAGTCAATCTTAGTCTTTGTGAAACACTCCACTGTACAATCATAATTCAAACCTGTCGGCTGTTTCATGTTTATACCCCCTTTGGACCACCCTGACTGATAAGTTAACCTGCAGACAAACATGCATACATCTTAGGGATTCTTTTAGCTACATACTCTACAGCCCATGAGATTGAAGGAAGAAATATTCTTTATTCACTGTAAAATACTGGCCTAAACCGAGTACGTTTTCCTAGTAATTTGATTTAACATGTTTACTCAGACACCTCTTGACATTAATGGTCAACAACAAGAGGAAGGAACCCGTTTTACATCCAAGAGGATGGATACAATGTAAGACCAGGGACCCGTTTCACAAAGCCCTTTTTCAATGACAAATGTCAAAAACCAGTGACAAATCTGCTGATAACCAACCAGGAGTGAGGATTTTCCACTAGCTTATTACAAGAACTGTCACTTGTCACCAATGACAAGTTTTATGAAATGGAGCCCAGAACATAAAAATGATTGTAGAGTTGAAGTTGTAAAGAAGTTCTACCTCAGTGAAATTGATCTAAATTCGATGAATTATCTTTTATGTACCAGGAAAAAGTACTTTCAGTTCACTCTCTTCCAGACATTCCACAGTTAACCTTGGCAAATTTTTGAAGTGATGATACAAGTGTGATATGCTTCACACCTCTATAACTTATAACACAGAGATATTTATATGTAGGACCTTTGTTTAACGTATTGATCTTTCATTTACAAGTTATTAAAACAAAACTTTCCCATGTCACATCTGAAAGAGCCAGTTGTGGTATTTTGTCTGCAAAAACTGTACAATAAATACATGAATCAAACACACACACACAATTTAATTGCATAAATTCACAAAACGAGCTAAACATTTGATGCTTACCCTCTAAGAACTGTACAACAGAATTAGTATCCTCTGACTTTATCAATAATCTGACCACCTCCTTCTCACCTCCCTTGCATTGTGTGGAACTTTTGTTATGACGTAAAATGAAGAATCTGAATCATTTACTAGTATTTACTAAATTCAATTCAAAATTATTACGAGCTTCTTTAGTAGCTTGGACTAAATAACATTTAAGAAGAGAAGTTGTGTTAAAGCCCCTCTGCACTTTGGCCAGGAGGGATTAGACCTCCCTGCAAGGTCACTGACAGATGGTTATCTCATCAAATCAGCTGTCAATTAACATAAGAAAAACTGAAAAAGGGGAACATGGGGGACCAATGGTCACCGATTAGGCATTGTTTGCTATATAGAGGGCGTAAGTAGCTGCAAGTAGTGCAGTGGGGCTTTAAAAGATGACTCTAAGCATAGATCTGTAGGTGTTTGAAAAGTCTAAAACATTACTGTCTTGAAGCCTGTTCCTCTTCACTAAAACAATTCTGATAAGAAATCAGGCTTAATCCAATTCCATGTAGAATCAAACCTGTCTTGGTGGCTACCCCTCTATAAAGACCACCTGTCTCTAGTGGTCACCCATATTGCCTCCCTCCAAAAGGAAATATTGAAGAACCTCTCTAAAAAGGCCACCTGTCTACAGTGGCCACTTAGTGCTGGTTGTTGCCCTTGGGTAGCCTAACTAGCCTTGATAGACAGGTTTGACTGTAAATGCAATTATCCTTTTCATGATCACAAGTCACTTAGAGGACCTACAGTAGTAAGGGGGACCGGTACAACTGTGACCCCCCAAAGTTCAAGGGCGTTCAACTTATTCATAAAGTGTATTTATCTCAGTCATGATCACAGGTCTTATGGAGGACCACCCAGTAACGGTGACCGGTACAACCGTGGCCCACCAAGGTTCAGGGGCCCGCCGGACCAGATGAGGGGACCATACGGTGGGCACAGGCCCAGGGGACCACCCCCAAGGGACTTCAGGAACAGGTTTGGAGGGCCACCCCCATTTGATCCCAGATATGGACCACCACCAAGGAACCGGTTTGGACCTCCACCGAGGAACATGCCGCCTATGCCTCCAAACATGCAGGTATTTTGATATTCCTTCCTCTTAGAGTTCTGAGAAAAAAAACATTAATCATTAATCCTTTTTTAATGTCCCATGAGAGAGTATGAATCTGTGCAAATTTTGAAAAATGTGACTAGATATTATGGATGAATTGAAACCATTTCAGTAACCCTGTGGGGATGAAGAATAGATAGAAATATGCAAATTATTATTGTTTGGTATCATTAGGGAGAAAAACAACAAGTATATAAAGTTGTTTCTCAATGTGAATGATAACTAATACATATTTAGTTTTCTCTTACATGTAGAAGAATATTGTGTCAATCAATCTGCTTTTTTTTGGTTCATTTGTAGAGAGTTTATTTTGGTTCTTTGAGCATGGGCATTTTCAAAATATCATTCCCATGACTTTTTCTCTTTTTTTCAATTAGTTTTCAATACAAAGACTGCTTCTGTTGAATAGAAGTACAATGTGATATAAGTTTTAGTCCTTTACTTGGATGTTATGTGTATGCTGCTACTGTTCATTAAATCTTGACGTTCTTGAAAAATATAAAAATATTTTCAAATGCTTTCTTCTGAGCTCTTCTACTTCAGTTGGTGCTCATATCTTAGGAACAATCCCAGGTAAAATATGCATATAGGCAGGTAATGTACCATCAGAATTATACCAAAAGTAAAATGTGAATGTTTCAGTGCCATGACAGGGTACATGTAGGTGAGTGAAATCAGTTATATGGCTGTACGTTTTTGATAATTAGGGAACCACGTTAGGTACATCTTGTCTGTGGAAATTAGTCTTAAGATGTCTTATTTTCAAAACTTGACAATTATCTTTCAATTTCATAAAACAGATGGAAGAATCAAAGTTACATGCATGTTTTGATATTCATGCATAAATGTATGCGTAACATGTAGGAAGTCGTACTCACATATTTTTCATGGAGTTATCGTGATGACTTTGCTTACCGGTACCTAATGTTTGAGGATCTTCCCTTATAGCAAAAAGATAGAAATTTCAATAGTCGAGGGGAAACAAATTTCCCTCCTTTCTGTCATAGATTTTGTGTCTTTTCAAATATCTACTTGCTAGTAAAGACCTTCTTGTATGAAGAGACTTCTTTTTACCAGTAAGGGATAAGGATTATAACAAGTCGCTCTCTCTTCATTAACCCACAGCCTCCCATGGGAGGTGGGATGATGCCCCCTCCTGGCATGCCGCCCCCAGGTATGCCCCCTTTCTTTCCCCCACACATGGGGGGTATGCCCCCACACCCCTTCCAGCAGCCACCCCCTAACCAGCAGTCACAGCAGCCCCAGCCCAAGCCAGCTGGCCCCGCTGGTTTGACCACGCCCCCTCCAGGGGTCAGTCCGGCGACCTTTGCTATCGCCATGGATACCAACCAGGACTTCTGGGTGGAGAACACGCCGGCAGAAGGAGGAAAGGTGAGTGGAGTTGAGAATAAAGGTTAATTGATGTGTTAGAAGAGAAAGGTAGAAGAAAATATGACACCACCTACAGTAACATAGAAATGGGTTACAACAAAGAAATTCCGAAAACCAAATATTTTTATAAACGTTTTCTAAATGACTGATGTTTTCTATCCATATACTGTAGGTACTTCTTTGCAATTTATGGTGATAATCATTATTCCTTAATAACAGGATTGATAGGGAAAAGTTTTCTGAACTTTCATTGATTTATTAATTCGATACCTTTGTTTATTAGGTTTACCTACATTCAAAAGTATATAGGGACAACCCCTCTCCCCATTATGACATATAACAGCGGTGTCCACTAATTGCTAATTTAACCTGAGGGGGAAAAAAAGGATTAAAAACTATGAAGTTAAAATGATTTCTTAATTAGTTCTTTTGTAAATCAATCAACCCTTCCATTACTTCGGGTTAAAATAGCAAGATTCTTTACATTTATATAGCTAGTTTTGTCATAAAATTGGATCTAGATAGGCCTGTATGTCATGTACATTTGTAGCCAGGTACACTAGTTCATCACTGCCAACTTTCCGTCAATTGCATGTAGTAAAGCCCCACTGCACAACTTGTAGCTACTTGCTCCCTCTATATAGAAAACAATGCCTAAGCGGTGCCCGTTGGTCCCCCATGATCCTCTTTTTCTTATGTTAATTGAGAGCTGAGTTGATGAGATAACCACCTGTCAGTGACCACGCTGGATGGGGCTTTAAAACCTTAATTTAAGACCACTTCAATCTATCTTCAATTTCTGTTCGTCCATTAACAGACCTACTACTTCCATGCTAAGAAGCGTGAGCCGACATGGACAAAACCAGAGAACGTGCGCATCATCAAGCAGTCCGACCTGAATGCCATAGCAGCCGCTGCAGGAGTGGCACAGCAGCCTACCGGTAGTACTGCGGCATCCGCAGCGGGCGACGCAAAGACCACTGATCCAACGGCTTCAGATGCCGGTGCAGGGCAGAAGGCATCAAATGGTGAGATTCTTATTTTTCTATGGTTAAGTGTATACTTTAGCATAAAAGTCTAACTGAATTTTTATCCACAGAATGGAATTTGGGAAGCATGGTATTAAATTTGATGGTTGTAGATATTTGACCAGGATAGATGTTGTTCCAGGATTAAAACATGTCTCTAAATCTTTATTTGTATTTTATAAACCTAACTTTAGTTAATAAATGTCATTTGTAGTGTA